AAGGAAACATTAGTGTAAGATGGGCCCAACACTGAACCTGTTGCCACCATCTTGAGGGAAGAGATGCCCTGACAAGAAAGAAGATGGGAGGGATCAGATAAAAGATAAAGGTGCCAACTAGTTGTCAAGAAAGTAAGATATTAACTTTGCAAGAATTTAAATGAGAATTAAAAGAAAAAATCTTAATTTAACAAAAGATGAATGTACAAATAATGCATTATTTCTCTTTACCAATAATGCAAGAATGTAATCAAATAATAAAGGTCAGCCCCAGTGAAACAATTTGAATAGGAAATAGAACATAATAAAGTAACTGCTTAAACAGGCAAGCACAGGTGTGCTTGCCTGTTTAAGCAAGCACACCTGTGCTTGCTTAAACATATATATATATATATATATATATATATATATATTATATATATATATATATATTTTATATATATATATATATATATATATATATATATATATATATATATATATATATATATATATATATATATATATATATATATATATATATATATATATATATATTATATATATATATATATATATATATTTATATATATATATATATATATATATATATATATATATATATATATATATATATATATATATATATATATATATATATATATATATATATATATATATATATATATATATATATATATATATATATATATATATATATATATATATTATATATATATATATTTTATATATATGTATGTCGTACCTAGTAGCCAGAACTCACTTTTTGGCCTACTATTCAAGGCCCGATTTGCCTAATAAGCCAAGTTTTCCTGAATTAATATATTTTTTCTAATTTTTTCTTATGAAATGATAAAGCTACCCATTTCATTATGTATGAGGTCAATTTTTTTTTATTGGAGTTAAAATTAACGTAGATATATGACCGAACCTAACCAACCCTACCTAACCTAACCTAACCTATCTTTATAGGTTAGGTTTGGTTAGGTAGCCGAAAAAGTTAGGTTAGGTTAGGTTAGGTAGGTTAGGTAGTCGAAAAACAATTAATTCATGAAAACTTGGCTTATTAGGCAAATCGGGCCTTGCATAGTAGGCTGAATAGTGTGTTCTGGCTACTAGGTACGACATATATATATATATATATATTTTATATATATATATATATATATATATGTCGTACCTAGTAGCCAGAACGCACTTCTCGGCCTACTATGCAAGGACTGATTTGCCTAATAAGCCAAGTTTTCCTGAATTAATATATTTTCTCTAATTTTTTTCTTATGAAATGATAAAGCTACTCATTTCATTATGTATGAGGTCAATTTTTTTTTATTGGAGGTAAAATTAACTTAGATATATGACCGAACCTAACCAACCCTACCTAACCTAACCTAACCTATCTTTATAGGTTAGGTTCGGTTAGGTAGCCGAAAAAGTTAGGTTAGGTTAGGTTAGGTAGGTTAGGTAGTCGAAAAAACATTATTTCATGAAAACTTGGCTTATTAGGCAAATCGGGCCTTGCATAGTAGGCTGAGAAGTGCGTTCTGGCTACTAGGTACGACATATATATATATATATATATATATATATTTTATATATATATATATATATATATATATATATATATATATATATATATATATATATATATATATATTTTATATATACAGTATATATATATATATATATATATATATATATATATATATATATATATATATATATATATATATATATATATATATATATATATATATATATATATATATATATATATATGCGAACAAGCCTGAATGGTCCCCAGGACAATATGCAACTGAAAATTCACACCCCAGAAATGACTCGAACCCATACTCCCAGATGCCACGCAACTGGTATGTACAAGACGCCTTAATCCACTTGACCATCACGACCGGACATAATGAGGTGATAGCCGAGGCTATTTGAACCACCCCACCGCCGGCACTCGGATAGTAATCTTGGGCATAGCATTTTACCAAATCACCTCATTCTTTGGGGCACACGTGAGGAACACAAATGCGAACAAGCCTGAATGGTCCCCAGGACAATATGCAACTGAAAACTCACACCCCAGAAGTGACTCGAACCCATACTCCCAGATGCCACGCAACTGGTATGTACAAGACGCCTTAATCCACTTGACCATCACGACCGGACATAATGAGGTGATAGCCGAGGCTATTTGAACCACCCCACCGTCGGCACTCGGATAGTAATCTTGGGCATAGCATTTTACCAAATCACCTCATTCTTTGGGGCACACGTGAGGAACACATGTCCTGGGGACCATTCAGGCTTGTTCGCATTTGTGTTCCTCACGTGTGCCCCAAAGAATGAGGTGATTTGGTAAAATGCTATGCCCAAGATAACTATCCGAGTGCCGGCGGTGGGGTGGTTCATATAGCCTCGGCTATCACCTCATTTTGTCCGGTCGTGATGGTCAAGTGGATTAAGGCGTCTTGTACATACCAGTTGCGTTGCTTCTGGGAGTATGGGTTCGAGTCACTTCTGGGGTGTGAGTTTTCAGTTGCATATGTCCTGGGGACCATTCAGGCTTGTTCGCATTTGTGTTCCTCACGTGTGCCCCAAAGAATGAGGTGATTTGGTAGAATGCTATGCCCAAGATAACTATCCGAGTGCCGGCGGTGGGGTGGTTCATATAGCCTCGGCTATCACCTCATTTTGTCCGGTCGTGATGGTCAAGTGGATTAAGGCGTCTTGTACATACCAGTTGCGTTGCTTCTGGGAGTATGGGTTCGAGTCACTTCTGGGGTGTGAGTTTTCAGTTATATATATATATATATATATATATATATATATATATATATATATATATATATATTTATATATTTATATATTATAATAATAATAATAATAATAATAATTTTCAAAGTTCAGCATATGAAGCATCTTCAAAGTTGCTCAGCATTCCAAGTTATGTTAGGTAATGGGCCAATGGGAACTGAAGTGACTGTGGTGTGCACGACATTCTATATAGTGACTTCATCATTAACTTGTTGGTATTGAGGTCTTGCTCTCATTCTCATGGTGGGGAGAGTGATTAATTCTGTTGTTTGAGTGTTTATGATGTGTTGTTCTGCTTGTGTGTGTGTGTGGGGCTCCTCACTGCTCTCTAGATAATAAACAAAAAGTCAAGACAACTTATTATGAAAATAAATTTAATCAAAAAGTTAACATGAAAAACATGTACAGTACTGTACCGAGGTTCCACTGTACATCTCGCCACATAGATGAACGGGGGAACAGTGAGGTGTCCCACACTGAGACATCTCATTTCCCTTCTCAGTGGTCATGTGACATTGGATTACCTGTTTATTAGCCCTTGCCTTCAACTTGTTGCCAATCATATCTTTTCAAATGCAAGGCTCCCTGCACCCTTGCTTTAGCCCCTACTTGGCAGCAATCTCTGCTCAAGTGGTGATGCCACGACCGCCACATTGAAAGAATGATAGATGAGCTAACCCCTTCTAGAATTCCTAAAGCTGAAATTTCTCACAAATTACACAACTTGCAAACTTCCAGTTTGAACTGAAATGATCACCATGCTGTCAAGTATGTACAAGGACTGGGAAAAATTTCTCTTGAAATTGGGAAAGGTACAAAGAAGACGGCAATAATAGCAATATACGTACAGTGTGTGGTTTTCTTCCCTTAAGATGGAAGCTGAAAAATTGACTTCCTCAAAGTTCATTTTACAGTTTTATTATGGCCTAACGCTAAGAGGTGTAATTTGTTGACCTTTCTCAACATTATCAAAAACAGTATGAGTTTACAATTTTAGAGCAGCTGAATATATATAACCTGGGGATTTAGTGAAGCCCCCTCACTATGGGCCAATAACTGGTAAAATGGTAACTTGCAGATTATTCAGTCTTCTATTTCAGTAATGGCTGGAGTAGTATGTTGGATATTTTGTCATGTTCTGCAAGATGGCAGAGTTTAATCTGCTGTTAGCTGGCTGTTGCAGTTGGCTGGGTTTTTATGTGTAGTGCCTCATCGATGTCCAATTTTCTATTGTTGCTGTATCTGTCTATTATTTAATTGTTTGTCAGGATATCTCTGATGATGATCTGGTTGTCTGTAGAGACTACATGTGCCTTCATAGGGCTGTGCTCTTTATGCATTGTCAGGCATCTTGAAAGAGATGCTTTCTTGCATGTGTACTTAGATCATTGGTGTTGACAGTCCCCCATTGTGAAGGCATTGATGATATTCGTTTTTTTTTTTTTTAATGTGGTTTGTTTGGTATCAGGAGAGTTTTTCCATGAGCAAATTTGCAGTCTTTCCTGCTCTTATAGTATATAAGATTGGAAATATGCAAATGTCACCCACCTATTTTTAAAAAAAAATAGAGAGAGGTCAGCAGAAGGCTGCTATCTGATCAGCTTGACCTCACAAATCTGAAAGTTCATGGAGAGAATCTTAAAGGAAGGAGTCATTCACACTCTCACAGTGAACACTTTAGTCAAATCAACACAACATGGGTTTGTTAAACTTTGATCATGTTAAATGATACACAAGATGATTCAATAAAAACTTTCTTTGTGATTGTCAGTGCCTTGTATATCGTTCAGTTAGGATGTATTAGCCTAGGTTAGGATGGTTTGGGTATGTTTGGGATAGGATTGGTTGGATTATAACAGAGTTGTTCCCGAAGTGTCGTGTGTGTGATACAACTTGTATCCATAATAATGCAACTACCATCTTCTGGCTTGTAATGTACTCATGTACACACATACCTAATATTAAAACATACAAAAACTAATATTTATTCCAGTTGTATTAAAAGAAAAGGAAATAATATACACAAAATATTATACACAATACTCTTATACACAAAAGTATAGAAATTTAGTAACGTCCCAGTGGCAACATCTAACTTAACTTAGTCCAGCCAAATGATGGAAGAAAGAATAAAATAGTAGAGTCCTCTGACTTTATTTTTTGTTTTTGTGCAGAGTGAAGCAAAATAAGTCACTGCTAGGAACAGTCATGAGAGTCGTGTTCTTCACTTTCAAGAAGTTCAAGCTCCACTATACCAGTAGGGACACTGGCCTCCTCCCTTTGGCATGTAAAAGTATGGGAGGTGAAAGATATCCTCTACAGCTCAACATTGCTCATCCTGTATAAGTATGGCAGATGAAGGAGATCCACGGCAACTAAATGTGGCTCATCCCGTGCGAGTATGCACAGCAGATCATGGAGCTCCTCTGCATTCCCGAAAGAACAAGAGAGTAAAAAAGGACATCACTTCTAAGTGGAAAGTAAGTTGATGATGCTTGCATCTCAATTTTTTAATGCTTGATGCTGGTTAATATGGCATACGTGAATAGTGTCTTTTCATACTTACTCTCCATTATATATGGGATGATTTATACATGTAAAATATTAAAACTGTTTTGAAGTGTGGTCTCTAAACCATGAACGTTCATAATGGGAAGTATTATTTAACAGTTTATGCTACTGTTAAAGGTTCATGGTTCAGGTAAAGGTTCATGGTTCATGGTAAAGGTTCAGAGGTTCATGGTTCTCTAAACCATGAACGTTCATAATGGGAAGTATTATTTAACACAGTTTATGCTACTGATTTGGTGTACAAGTAAACCTCATTTAATGTCGGGCACTGACCCTTGTCATATCTACCTAGCACTTAAATCATTATTAAATATTGAGCTTGGAATTCTCACACCTTGTTTATCTGTGATGAGCTGGCATGATACATTTGTTTTGGCAGCAGCTAAATTCGCTTGATATTTTATTAATATAATCATATGGTTGTACAGTATTATATTTTACAGTGCAGTATGTATTACAAAATTTGTATGAACAGTACTGTGTTTTGTGCTATTATTTTCAGTGAACAAAATGTTTAATTTTCAGTACAGCACTGTAAATATATTGTTAGTTAACAATATTTAAGTTAGCCCTCATATACTGTACTTTGTTTTCTTTAATAAGTAACATTGGCTTCCACATCATTGTTACTAACCTGTGTTGAGAACGTCAACGAAAAAAGTCCAGTTTGCCTGTTTGATGTTAAATTTAATTATTTAATTATATATTTATTTTTTAATGTAAAACTAAATTACATTTGCTGGGGCAAAATTACCTGGGTTTACCTGTATTTGATAATGTAATATAAGATGCAATTCACAATAGTGTTGGTAATTATATTTTACTCACATGTATAATCAGAAATTTGAACTCAAGCCTGACAATACAAGACTATTGTGTACAAACATGCCAAGAATACTTCTGCAATCCTTACTTATTGTGCAGCCCGTCCTTTTAAGGTTTCCCAATGTCGAGAAACTATTGTACTAAAGTCCTCTCTCCTAACCTACCGGAGGACCCAAAACAGAAAACTGGATTGTACATCGCTTTCATGAGCCGCTTCCATTTTCTAGTACAGTGGAACCTCGACTTACGAATGCCCCTACTTACGAATACATGTAAAGTTAAAGTTTCGAGTTATGACCCCAATTTTGTCATAAAATTCGACTCGACTTACGACCTTTAATTTGTCGATATAACTTGCAAATTTGTTGATACACGTATAGGTCGACGGAGGGCGTGGTTCCTGGTGGCATGGGTGACCCCGCTTTAGTTTACCAGACTGCCTGCTTAGTGACGATCGCACTTGAATTCTTTGTAAAGAATTTCATTGTTTTCAGCTTTTTTGCTTTCTAAACATAAAAGTAATTATTATATATCACACCATGGGTTCCTTAACAATTAAGAAGTGGTATGCAGTATGGAAAGAAGTGCAAAGTTTTGTTGAAACGACTCGCCCAGAGCAAGCTGTAGTAGGCCATTGCCTTAACCTTTTCAATGACACTGTGATGCCTCACTACAAACAAATGTTAAAATGTAGGGAAAACAAGTCTCTATGGAAATGTTCTTAGTGAGACAAACAAGCAGTGAGCCACAACCAGGTCCTAGTGGTATGCAGGCAAAACGTAGGAGAGCGAGAGTACCCCAGAGAAGTCATCACTGCCTGATGTTATAATAGAAAGGGACTCCCTTTCCAAACAGTAACACCTCTCCTCCCCCCTCCTCACCGTCTTCCATACACCAACAAGAGTCATCATTAAAGATAAGCAATAACTTGTACATACAATAGTACAAAATATGTGTGTACAGTGGTACCTCGGAATGCGATTGTCCCTGTATGCGAGGTTTTCGGAAGGCGAGGTGTATTTACTCCAAAAATTTGTCTCGGAAGGCGATGGTTACTTCGGGAGGCGAGTTTGGACGCGAGTTTGTTGATACGCGTACAGCCGACCTAGCGCGTTCGTCGCCCCTCCGCCCCGCCGCCCCTCAGTTTATTATTGTCTCGCGCTCAGTGACTACCCCCACATCAATTCTTCTCGCGGATTTTCAGTGTTTTGTTGGATTTTTGGTGATTTGTCTATACAATTTGTTATTATATATCTCACCATGGGTCCCAAGAAAGCCAGTGGTAAGGATAAAGGCCAGAAAGCTCATGTGAGGATGACAATAGAGGAGAAACAAGAGATCATTCGGAAGCATGAGAACGGTACACGTGTTGTTGAACTTTGTAGGCAGTACAACAAAGCCACATCAACAATATGCACTATACTTAAGAAGAAAAATAAGATTATGGGTGCTAAAGTGGCAAAAGGAGTAAGAACATTAACGGCACAAAGACCACAAATACTTGAAGAAGTGGAAAAGTTGTTATTAATTTGGATACACGACAAGGAGTTGAGGGGTGATAGTGTTTCGGAGGCCATTATTTGTGAGAAAGCCAGGGTGTTGCACGAAGACCTTCTAAAGAATACCCCTGCAACGAGTGATGCAGATAAGAAAGAGTTTAAGGCAAGCAGGGGCTGGTTTGAAAAATTTAGAAAGAGAAGTGGTATCCATAGTGTTACAAGGCATGGGGTTATGTGATGTGATTATGGAAGGGGACTCCCCTTCCAAACAGTAACTCCTCTCCTCCTCCCCCCTCCTCACCATCTTTCATACGCCTACAGCACTCGACAGCAAGGTAAGTAATAACTGGAACACAGTTTTGTAGGTTTATTTAGATGAATTAGGTAAATTAGGTATAAAAATTTAGTTTGATGTGGGGTTTTTGGGGTAGTCAGGAACGGATTAATTCATTTCCCTTTATTTCTTATGGGGAAATTAACTTCGGAATGCGAGTTTTCGGAAGGCGAGGCGTCTCCAGGAACGGATTAAACTCTTATTCTGAGGTATGCCTGTATTATGTATGAAATGTATTTTGAAGTTAATATTTTTGGGAGTATGGAACAGATTAATTAAATTTACATTATTTCTTATAGGAAAATTTGTTTCGAGTTATGAATTTTCGAGTTATGACCCGTCTCTGGGAACGGATTAAATTCGTAAACGGAGGTACCACTATAACTGTACAACAATTTTTGGCCTTAGGTAGAGTATACGTCAAAATGTGACATTCTGTTAGGAGGACAGGTTGTATTGTGAGCATTCATGACCTAGTTGGTAGGATAATGGTCTCATATTTTGAATATCTTGGGCGAGTTTCCAAGTCAATGAAATTATAATGTTTTATCTCTGAAAACCAGGTTTTGTGACTTTACTAAGGCTTATGTGTTGGATAAATTTGTCAATGGAGCAGTTAACTAAAGTATAAAACAATGACTATTATTGTTTTCTTCAGAATTATGAAAGAAAGTTCTACATCTCGTAGATGAAGCATTAACAGGACTGTGTACTCTGAGGTCTGGAGAAAAACATATATCACAGGATTGAGATCTGGATATTCCCCAGATACTAATCCTAAGAACATTAGCAGTTGAAGAAGAGTTGCAAAATTTTGACGAAACAGTGACAACGTCTGGTGAGTAAATTTACAAAATTAACATCATTTTAAGTACAGTATTAGTGTTAACAAGGCTGAGTGGAAGTAGTCGTAGTTTTTGCATGATATTGTATGACAAACAATTTCATATCTTGCAGTAGAGAAATCATTGGAGTGTGGTGACATTGGTTTCATCTATGTACAGTGGACCCCTGGTTTACGAATTTAATTCATTCCACAAGACGGTTCGTACAACGAAAAATCGTAAACTGAAACAAATTTTCCCTTAAGACATAATGTAAATTGAATTAAGCCATTCCACACTCCCAAAAATATTAACTTGAAAATACATTTTTTATAGAATACTTCCCCTTTTTTTTACTACTATACAGGTACCTTATCTTTATTGATGACTTTTGTTGACATATGAAAGACAGTGAGGAGGGGGGAAGAGGTGTTAGTGTTTAGAAGGGAAGTCTCCTTCCATTATAACATCAGGCAGTGATGACATTTCTGGGGGTACTCTCTCTCTCCTACATTTTGCAGGCATTTCACTAGGACTTGGTTGTGGCTCACTGCTTGCTTGTCTTACTAAGAATCTGTCTAAAGACACTTGTTTTTCCCTACATTTTAACACTATTCTGGATTTTCCACTTGGAATTACGGGCGGTTTAGATAAGCGCTTGTCGGATCACGACGTAAATTTACGGAACCGTGTTATAGTGGGTATTTACTACTCGATCGACTTGGGGTTTGTATGAATATGTTTGCCATTAAATTTTCGTTTTCTCTAATAGGCACAGTGCCTATTTGAGAAAACGGCAATGTATTGTAACTTAGAGGAGAGACTATTGAGTTGGTGACACAACGAGGGTAATCGCCCACTCCACACACTCTTGTGTTGGCCGCGATCATGATTCTACATTTATATGCATATGTCTGTGTAGAGAATTTTATTCCGAACACTATACAAACAAAAAAAACGGTGTGAAACAAGTATAAACTTGAAAAAACATGAGCAAAGTAAAAACTTTTTACGCTCACGGGTACAAACACGCGTAAGATTTTATTCGCCGCAAATTTATTTGACGCTCTGTTGGCCAATTCTACGCATGTTCTTATAGAACTTTCTATGTTATATATAAAACTTTCTATTGCGAACACATTGCTATAAAAATGAAATACGTAGCTCGAGAAATAATGTCAGGATAGTGAAATAAGTATAAACTTTCAAAGCGCTGCATCACAACAGTGTCGTCGCTGCTGAAATCACGGCTAATGCTTTGCCCAGTTCCCACACTCGTGCGGAACATAATTAGACATTGATAGGCATATGTCTGGGTGGGGAATTTTATTGCGAGTTCAGTGATATCAAAATAAGCGCTGTAGGATGACTGTGAGGCTGGCAACAAACGAAAGAGTATGAACATTTACTTCCTGTTTGGGTGTCACGGCGAGTCATCTTCGTGTTTATTTACTTCGTGGTGGGATAGCAAATGCTTGGGTGACATTTTATGCATATGATCTTGTAGAGAATTTTATTGCCAACGCATTGATACCAAAATGAAAAATGTAGCTCAAGAATTGATGTTAGGAGCGTGAAAAGATTATAAACTTTTTTGTGTTTACGCTTGAGCGCCCAGAACGCCGCGCGCACAACCCGCTTTTTTTTTCAGCGAGTGCCGCGCGCACTAAAGTGTTAACACTTGTCTGTAGTGAGACGTCACATCACAAAGGTTAATGCAATGGCCAGCTACAGCTTTATCTGGCTGAGTTTATTCAACAAAACTTTACAGTTCTTCCCATACTGCACACATTTTCTTAACGAGGAAGGGGACATCCTCTACTGCCTCTACTCTCAACTATTTTCTTAGGTTGAACTTTACCACTGACTTTCTTGGGACCATAAAAGAAACTTTTATGTTCAGAAACCAAAAAAGCAGAAAAGCAATGAAATTCTTCACAAAGAATTCAAGCGCACTCATCACTAGGCAGGATACACTACTAAACTGAGTGCCTCGCCCAGCAGAACCCACTCGCTCGTTGACCCATATATGTATCAACAAACTCGAAATCCAAGACAAACCTCGTATACAAAAAAATTAAAAAAAGGGTATGAATTCATAAACCGAGACTCCACTGTACATTATATTATGTTTACTTCATTTCCCACTTTCATTGTATGAGAAGACATCTGTGTATAGAGAAAATGAGAATAATAATAATGAAAACTTTATAAATCTAACTAATGAGATATGAAGAACATTGAAAACTAAAATTTGGGTAAAATATAGCAAAATACAATCAGATCTTCTCATGGAACAAAAATGTACAATAAAATTACAATGAAGGTGAAGGAAAGACCCGGTACATGTATGTGTAATTATAGTACTGTATATTAAAACCAAATTTTTTTAATGTAACCTACGTCCTTTATAAAGAATGAAGGTTGCATCTGAAAATGTTATTTTAATACAGTTACACACGTGTTGGGTCTTTTATTGACCTTCATTCATGCTCTGTGGCATTGTCATAAGTTTCTTTAAAATCACAATAAAGTGTTATGACTGAGAAATCTTGTGGAACTATGCGGGTCGGAAAGGGAGCCGGTCAGCCGAGCGGACAGCACGCTGGACTTGTAATCCTGTGGTCCTGGGTTTGATCCCAGGCGCCGGCGAGAAACATTGGGCAGAGTTTCTTTCACCCTATGCCCCTGTTACCTAGCAGTAAAATAGGTACCTGGGTGTTAGTCAGCTGTCACGGGCTGCTTCCTGGGGGTGGAGGCCTGGTCAAGGACCGGGCCGCAGGGACACTAAAAAGCCCCGAAATCATCTCAAGATAACCTCAAGATGCGATACCATTGACTCTAGAAGGAATAGGATATAGGTTCTCTACACTTCCCTCATTCTTCCTCACTATTCCTTCCCTCATTCTTCCTCACTATATCCCTCTGTGCTCTTCTTCATTACTAATTATACTCAAACTAATTATACCCCTAACAATTTTAAGAACCTTTCTTACCTTCATCCTAAAATGTTGGGTCATGAGGGCAGCAAAAGTGTGTCAGATGCCAGCAGGTATTGTTTATACTGGAGTGTAAAGCACAGTTGTGGTATTGTGGCACAGGTTTGTGGGCATTATAACTGGACGTGGGCTTGGTGGAGTCTTTCAGGCATAGCTTAGACATGTATGTGAATAAATACAAATATTTATTCAGGTAAAGTGCATACATAGATACAAAAAGTTGATGGATTTATAGATAGAGCTAGTACATACAATGCCTAAAGCCACTATTACGCAATGCATTTCGGGCAGGAAAAACACTAAGACTAAAACTTAACACTAATTGAGAATAAAGTATAAATTGTGTTGAGAGAAAAAAAATAAAATAAGGAAAAAAAGGGGGAGGAACATGGCAGAAAAAATAGCAAAAATAAAATTTGGACAACAAAGAGCATTGTTTAAAATAGTAGACATGGGTTGACATTGTTGGATGGATATAAATAGGAGCTGCCTTGTATGGGTCAAACATACATACTCTATGGGTATGTATAGGCTTTCTGCAGTTTCATAAATTTTTGTCTTCAATGTAGAGTAAACTTAATTCTTAAACTTAAATGTAGCATAATGAGGTTGAGAAAATCCGTAGGAGCCGTGAAGAGGATTGGAATGTCATTATACACACACAGAGTAGTCACACTAACGTGATGTATCAACGAGACAATCTCTAGGAGTCACGATGAGGATTGGAACCTATGCGGTGGGAAGTCCCATGCACACGCCCCAGACAATCAGGCCATGATAACTGTTTGGGGCATGTGCGTGGGACTTCCCACCGCATAGGTTCCAATCCTCATCGTGACTCCTAGAGATTTTCTCGTTGATACATCACGTTAGTGTGACTACTCTGTGTGTATAATGACATTGGTGGTATGATAACTTTGCCTGTGCTAGGTTACATTAGCTTGAGGTAGTGAGAGGATCATCATCCCCCAGGTCTCTGATGAAGCTTCTTGATGGTGGTCTCGTCCACCAGGCTGTTAAACACCGCTGCTCACACCCTCGTGTATGAATCACAGCCTGGTTGATCATGTTTCCTTTGATAGTATTTATCAAGTTCCCTTTTGACCATTGGTAGAAGTTTACTAATTATGCCCCCTTATGATTAAAGGGAGAGTGTTGAAAAGTCTTGAACCTTTGATGTTGATAGAGTTGTCTCTTGGCATACCCATTGCACCTCTGCTTGTGTGACATATTTTTCAACTGGGCTATTTTACACTTTCTTCAATGCCTCCTGGTCTCGTTTGGAGTTTCTGCCGTGTTCAAATTTGGGACAAGCCTTTCCAATATTTTCCACGTGTAATTTATTATGCATCTCTCCTGCTTGCACAGTAGAGTACAGTTTGAAAGGTTTTAATCATTCCCAATAATTTAGAAGTTTTATTAAATGCATTTGGCAGTAAAAGTTCTCTGTATGTTCTCTATGTTAGCAATATCTCCAGCTCTGAATGGAGTTGTTAGTGTACAACATTATTCCACCCTAAAGAGCACTAGTGTCATAAAATGTATTGTTATTGGTCTGGCTTCTCTTGTTTGAAAGGTTCATGTTGTGCAGTTTGTCTTATATATTACTTTTTCATTCTATAGTGTGATTTGAATTACATTAGGCCTGTTAGTGGCTCCTGCCTGTCCCTCTTAAAATTCATTTCAGCCATTTTTCTTACAGGCTCATTGTTGTAGGTGACCATGGTACTGGAGCATCTGTCACTGTTCCCAGTTATCTGGGCAATCTCCCTCATGGAAAACCTGCTCTCCAAGGCTACACAACCCAGGATACCTGCAGCCAACAACTGCCCACCCTCACCTGTATTGTCGCTCGTCGCCCTCCGACGTGCAGAGGGAATATTGGTAGTTGTTGCTAACAGTTCTCTCACACATGAGGGCAATTCTACATCAAACTACCTGCCTGCCCCTAAACGACCCAGGACCATGCTCGCTAGCCCCCCTTCACGATGACCAACTCTACACAACCCTGCACCTCTATGTGTTCAAGTGACCATTTGCTCTTTACTTCTTGTGTATTGGGTGAGCCACTTGGTTGTCATAGAGCAACCATGATGGCGGGTGTGGAGAAGTGGAGCCTACACATCTTTCATCAGGCTAAAACATTTCACACTCATCATCCCAGCAGCCCTCATTATGTGGCCACGTTAAGCCTCTCTTTGCCATACCTCTATCAAGACGACCGAAACACACACCAGAAGATGAGGAAACGACGACATTTTGGTCCCTCCTGGATCATTATCAAGTCCTAATCTTGACAAACAGCAAGGCCCTATCACGGTGATACAGTCTACACGCAGCCATATCATTACCTATTCTGCTACTGTATTCTACTCACCTACTCTACCCCTCACCACCTTCCCTACCCTTCATCACCTTCCCTTATCGTTCACCACCTTCCTTACCCTTCACCATCTTCCCTTATCTTTCACCACCTTCCCTACCCTTAACTACTTTTGCTTCATCCCTGTAACCGTTTTCACTAATGATGTCTTCATTTAATCATCATGTTGATAATAACATGATGATTATCATTTGCCATTTCATGCAAAGGGAATCATGGGGCTTGACCTCCAACCACCCTATGACCATTACCGCACAAAGACTAGTCACCCTGCAAAGTTTGGTGAGGCTAGCCTCCAGTCTCTGTCCCCCAACATCGAACAGAGATTCGTATTGTTTATATATACTAATATACAGTATATAGGGGGTACCACCTCAGGTGCAATTGTAGGGACCCATAGCCTTGTAGAAGAAAATGGAGAGTATTCAGATAAGACCTAGTGGATTCTCACTGAACGCTTTAATATTTTCTTCTCCTACCGCCTCAATTTTATTTTATTACATTGTGTTACAATTTACAGAAAACACACACACATAACAATCACTGTTCGAAGACCTCATCCAGTCCTTTGGACGTGGGATGTGTGCCCAAGATACAGCACACATTTCTTCTGTGGGTCGCGACACTAAGGCACTGGAACAGGAAACTGGCCGCTCTTGAGTCTTTAGTTTGCCTAATGAGTTCCTCACCCACCTCCTTTAGGGACTTAGGTGTACATATTAGACAGTCTAATATACATTATTTATAATAATTTCCCTAAAATGGACATTTGTTACTTTTAACAATATGCACCAAACCTGACAAAGAGTACTGGGAAGACGGGACACCACGAGCGTAGCTCTCATCCTGTAACTACTCTTAGGTAATTACACACTGTTTGGGTCAACCAGGAATATATGGTTGGTCCACTTCCAGTGTGGACCTTCTTGTTCCTTCTCTCCACTCCTCATACTTTCATTCCTTACTCTCTCTTTACCTTTCAACTTTTCTCTCCCTCTTCCATATCAAATATTTTCCTTTTGTTGTTTTGCTTACATAAAATACTGTAATTTGATTCTTACTTAAGAGCCTAATAAATCCCGTTATCTTGCCGTGTATGAATACTGTACTTGTCTATTTGTTTGGGTACTGAGTTTCATTTGCATAATTGTTTTCTTTATATTTGGTCTTATAAGAAGTTCAGTTTAGTTATTTTTATTTTATTTTACTTTTATTTGTAATAAATTTTTAACACTTGCCCATCCTACTTAGCTTTCATTGAATCCCTGAAATATGAATGCAGTTAACATTTCAGATACTCTATTTTAGAATTGACAATAAAGTTATTTTTCATTTCATAATTACTTTATAGATATATCTCTTAAATGGCATAATTTTGTCCAAACTTTTTTAATCTTCAGAGAATAACGTCAGAGAAAATTATGGCTGAAATAAATAATCCAGCCTACTTCTGCCGGCACAACCCGATGAAGTTTACGGGCAAACCGACACATCTTCAATTTCATACATTTCATATACTTAGATCACATTACTTTATATTTCATGTGATCAAGAGCCCCATAAAAGCTGTACTGCCTGCAATATATATTAAGCCTTGGCATTGTCTGTCATGCCACCCCCTGCTTGATACCTGCTTGATGGGGTTCTGGGAGTTGTTCTACTCCACAACCATGACTTGAGAGAGTCTGGTCCATTAGGCTTGGAGCGGCCCGCAGGCCCACATATTTACCACAGCCCGGTTGGTCCGGCACTCCTTGGAGAAAATTATGTAGTTTTTTCTTTAAGATATCCACAGTTGTTCTGGCAATATTTCTTATGCGTGCTAGGAGGATGTTGAAACACCGCAGACCTCTGATGTTTATACAGTGTTCTCTGATTGTGCGTATGGCACCCCTGTTCTTCACTGGTTCTATTCTGTATTTTCTTCCATATTGTTCACTCCAGTATGTTGATATTTTATTGTGTAGATTTGGGACAAGGTCCTCCAGTATTTTCCATGTGTATATTCACAACCTGCACCCCTGGTGCAGGATGATGTTGGTGATGGTGGTCAATGTGATGATGTGACCCACTTGTACTTTCCAGTCATCCTTAACACTTTGGTTGGCCATGTTTGTGTCAACTGTACTGGTAATATATTCCAGTGATTGAATTTGTTTGTCTACTTTGTTTCTCATTGTCAGGGAGAGGAAACTGGATAGATTTATTACCCCATACATTACAGTTATTGTATATAGTACTGTATTATTGTCTGGGGTTTACCTTGACCCATGAAAAGAATCCTGCTATTGTTTTGTGATCACTCTGCAAGTGTGGGTGTCATCACAAATGATTCTATGCCAAGGGTGAGGCTGTTTGTGTTGTCACCTGACCAGTTATTATTAACCAGAATGACAAGCACTATATCACCTTACTCAGTAATACACACAAAGGAAGGAGATAGCTCAAGCTATTCACACCCCCCATTTAGTACAACGTGTTCATATATATATAGACACGCATCACAAACAATAAACATAATGTTGAACATTCAGAGTGATAAATATATAGATTTACATTTCTTCCTTTACATCCAGATGGAACAGAATCATTTTAATGTTTGTAAATTATGGAAAAATTTGAGGAGGATTAAGATAGGAAAATTACTAGAGGCTACAAGGGATGACCTGGGCTTACTGAAAGAATGGTCCAACAAATGCCAATTAAATTATGTACAGAGGGCCGGACACAAGGTAATCAAGTCGTCCACCTGAGAAATGAGTCCTATCAGATGGGTTTAGAAAAAAAAACTCATTTTGCTGAGGAATTTTATAAACACTGAACCATTTCTGTTTATCATTTCCTCCCCCCCCCCCCCACCCCCCCCTCCCCCAATTTAGTGTTTCTTGCATTAAAGTCACCCATTATGATGGTTTAAGAGTTGCTATTGATTTAGGGGTGAGATGACTCCAATATTCTATCACACTTCACATAGATGTGGCAGAGACAGAAAGAGCCAACCTCCGTGGACATCTGAAACTTCTGATAATAGGACTAACAACACTGCAAACATGGCAGCTCTAATCAAAGCTTTTTAAAATACTGAACAATTTGGAGGATAATGATCCAGACTTTCTTTACAAGGTCAGTTGTAACACAAGAAGCAACGGTGACAAGCTCAACAAGCCACAATGTAACACACACAAGGAACAACAGTGTCAAGCTCAACAAGCCACAATGTAACACAAACAAGGAACAACAGTGTCAAGCTCAACAAGTCACAATGTAACACAAACAAGGAACAACAGTGTCAAGCTCAACAAGTCACAATGTAACACAAACAAGGAACAACAGTGACAAGCTCAACAAGCCACAATGTAACACAAACAAGGAACAACAGTGACAAGCTCAACAAGCCACAATGTAACACAAACAAGGAACAACAGTGACAAGCTCAACAAGCCACAATGTAACACAAACAAGGAACAACAGTGACAAGCTCAACAAGCCACAATGTAACACAAGGAACAACAGTGTCAAGCTCAACAAGCCACAATGTAACACAAGGAACAACAGTAACAAGCTCAACAAGCCACAATGTAACACAAACAAGGAACAACAGTGTCAAGCTCAACAAGTCACAATGTAACACAAACAAGGAACAACAGTGTCAAGCTCAACAAGTCACAATGTAACACAAACAAGGAACAACAGTGACAAGCTCAACAAGCCACTATGTAACACAAACAAGGAACAACAGTGTCAAGCTCAACAAGCCACAATGTAACACAAACAAGGAACAACAGTGACAAGCTTAATAAGCCACAATGTAACACAAACAAGGAACAACAGTGACAAGCTCAACAAGCCACAATGTAACACAAACAAGGAACAACAGTGACAAGCTCAACAAGCCACAATGTAACACAAGGAACAACAGTGTCAAGCTCAACAAGCCACAAGGAACAACAGTGACAAGCTCAACAAGCCACAATGTAACACAAACAAGGAACAACAGTGTCAAGCTCAACAAGTCACAATGTAACACAAACAAGGAACAACAGTGACAAGCTCAACAAGTCACAATGTAACACAAACAAGGAACAACAGTGACAAGCTCAACAAGCCACAATGTAACACAAACAAGGAACAACAGTGACACGCTCAACAAGCCACAATGTAACACAAACAAGGAACAACAGTGTCAAGCTCAACAAGTCACAATGTAACACAAACAACAGTGATAAGCTCAACAAGCCACAATGTAACACAAACAAGGAGCAACAGTGTCAAGCTCAACAAGCCACAATGTAACACAAACAAGGAACAACAGTGACAAGCTCAACAAGCCACAATGTAACACAAACAAGGAACAACAGTGTCAAGCTCAACAAGCCACAATGTAACACAAACAAGGAACAAAAGTGACAAGCTCAACAAGCCACAATGTAACACAAACAAGGAACAAAAGTGACAAGCTCAACAAGCCACAATGTAACACAAACAAGGAACAACAGTGACAAGCTCAACAAGCCACAATGTAACACAAACAAGGAACAACAGTGACAAGCTCAACAAGCCACAATGTAACACAAACAAGGAACAACAGTGACAAGCTCAACAAGCCACAATGTAACACAAGGAACAACAGTGTCAAGCTCAACAAGCCACAATGTAACACAAGGAACAACAGTAACAAGCTCAACAAGCCACAATGTAACACAAACAAGGAACAACAGTGTCAAGCTCAACAAGTCACAATGTAACACAAACAAGGAACAACAGTGACAAGCTCAACAAGCCACAATGTAACACAAACAAGGAACAACAGTGACAAGCTCAACAAGCCACTATGTAACACAAACAAGGAACAACAGTGTCAAGCTCAACAAGCCACAATGTAACACAAACAAGGAACAACAGTGACAAGCTTAATAAGCCACAATGTAACACAAACAAGGAACAACAGTGACAAGCTCAACAAGCCACAATGTAACACAAACAAGGAACAACAGTGACAAGCTCAACAAGCCACAATGTAACACAAGGAACAACAGTGTCAAGCTCAACAAGCCACAAGGAACAACAGTGACAAGCTCAACAAGTCACAATGTAACACAAACAAGGAACAACAGTGTCAAGCTCAACAAGTCACAATGTAACACAAACAAGGAACAACAGTGTCAAGCTCAACAAGTCACAATGTAACACAAACAAGGAACAACAGTGACAAGCTCAACAAGTCACAATGTAACACAAACAAGGAACAACAGTGACACGCTCAACAAGCCACAATGTAACACAAACAAGGAACAACAGTGTCAAGCTCAACAAGTCACAATGTAACACAAACAACAGTGATAAGCTCAACAAGCCACAATGTAACACAAACAAGGAGCAACAGTGTCAAGCTCAACAAGTCACAATGTAACACAAACAAGGAACAACAGTGACAAGCTCAACAAGTCACAATGTAACACAAACAAGGAACAACAGTGTCAAGCTCAACAAGTCACAATGTAACACAAACAAGGAACAACAGTGTCAAGCTCAACAAGTCACAATGTAACACAAACAAGGAACAACAGTGACAAGCTCAACAAGCCACAATGTAGGACTAAGAACAAGATTCCTTTTCACTCACAGTGTTATTAACCATGGGAACCGCCTACCCGCCGTAGATATAAATGCCAAAACTCTCATGAACTTTAAAGCCCAGATAGAAAAATTCAAGGACAAATTTGGGGGCGGGGAACCTTTTGACAAGACGAAGGTTTCCTGTCCTTGTTGAGGCCACGAGTGTTAGTAGATTTCGTAGTTTCCGATTAATAATAATTACCGTTACAAAATTTTATTAAATCATTCAAAATATAATGTTATAAATTATATTCAGAGTATAATCTAAAGTTACTGCTGACCTCGTGTCAATAAATCTTATTAAAGATATAACAAATCTAATATTAATAAATTTTCCTTTACGTAGATGCAAATTTCAATGTTCAATCTTGTAACATCAAATATTTTCATTAATAATACAGTATTTGATTTACATATTTAACTGTGTTTAATTAGAAAATATTGTAATGTATAATATTTTATGTGGAACTAAGGTATGTGATACAGGCTTCAGGGGGCACTATTTTCTGTGTATGGAAGAAAACGTAAGCATAGAGTGGGAGACTTCTTTAATTGTTTATTAATAATAATAATAACAATTATAATTTTTATACTTATAAATTTATAATAATATTTATAACAATGACATTTATAATTATAATTGATAGTAATTATATAATTTATTAAATCTATAATAGATTTACAGCCACTTGTAGATGTAAACCAACAAACTAACACTAAACATAGAAAAGACCTACTACATCTTATTTGGAAGCAAATCAACAAATGCAATTCAGCTACAGATAGACAATGTAAACATTAGCAATAAAAATGATGGAAAGTTTCTTGGCCTATTCCTAGACAAGAGACTCAACTTCAGCACCCACATTCAACACATAACTAAGAAAGTCTCTAAAACAGTTGGGATACTCTCTAAAATCAGATATTATTTACCTAACTCTGCTCACATCTCTCTATATTATGCACTAATCTATCCCTATCTTAATTATGGTATCTGTGCATGGGGGTCTACCACTGCAAACCACCTCAAGTCCATCATCACCCAGCAAAATTCTGCTATCAGAATAATAACTAACTCTGCTTTAAGACAACACTCAGCCTCCTTAACTTCCTAAACTTGCTAAATATTAACATTCTCTTGTGTCAATTACATTTACAAAACCCTGTTCTTAAAAGCAAACCATGCTCTGAAACTCTCCCTTGACAGATGTAATAGGACCCATTATCACCACACCAGAAATAAATATCTCTTTGATATTCCCAGGGTCAAACTTAATATGTGTAAACACTCTATGTAAATAAAGGGACCCAGTTTATGGAACTCACTCCCTAATGAATTGAAAAGCTGTCCAACTTTTACATCATTCAAAAACAAAACCAAAAAGTACCTAATTTCATCTTAAAAGTGTCCTACACTGAGCTTTAAACTTGCACTGTGTCAAGTGTTACCCAATCTACCAATCTTTATGTATCTAATCCAAACAACTTTACCATTGTGATCATTGCTGACTTCTTATATGTGCTATCAATATGTTCTTCTTGTATGTGCTGTCAATATGCTATATTGTGCCTATCAATCTTTGTTAAATTCCCAATCAAGCTGTCAATGCAATCAATCAGAGCTACTGATGTGCTTTAATATACTTACTAATCTCTCTCATCTCCTTTTTTTCTTGCAATGTATTTGTTATCATTTTATAAATTTTGCTAGAATTTACCTACTTAAAACTATCTGTTAGAGTATGGCCTCTGCTTTGAAATACAAAGCGGAGATGTTTCTGAAGAGGGGGACAAAGACAGTTGCGCAGTGCGCGGGAAGTCTGGGGCCATATAAATTCTGAGGCAGAGAGGGGCTCTCCACCATCTGGTCACCATTTGGTCCGGGAGACATCTCCCGTCACGCTGGGTGCAGTCGCACCTCCACAGATCTCCAGTATCATCTATTGATACTGGTGATGGCTCAAAAGGGCCACCACTTACGAGCTATTCATGCCCGTGCCACCTTTTGGGTGGCTTCATCTTCATCTTCTTCGGGGCTCTCCCTCACTTTCTCCCGACCGCCGCAGTACTCGAAACTCCCACCCGCCTCCCCTTCATGCAAGTGGCAGTTCCCAGTCATGCTTTGTGCCGCGTCCCTATTTTCCCCACCGCAAGTGCGGAGGGGGTGCAGCGCCGGTCCCCAAGTGTCCCGCTGTCCGCAGCTAATCCTTTGCCCAGTCTAGGTGCTAGTAAGAGTCGGGAAACACTTCTTATTCCTTGGCGGCCGGCCTCACGCCCTGGGAAAAACTTCTCCCATTTGTCATATCAGTTTTCCCCAGTCACTAGGTATTTTTCTGCCAGCCTGTTAATTCTAGGATTTCACATTATGTCTTGGTAGGGCTCCGTTAAGTGTTGTGTCTATACACTTTATTCCCCCTTTGTGTCCTGATTGTTATACCTAGTTCTAATTATATTTCATCTGCCATTAGGTTTCTGCAGAACGTGTTTGCCATGTCTAGGCTATGCTTACTACTACGGGGGTACATTTTAAGTTAATTAGTCCTCAGACATGGACATGTTACATTTGTTAATTCCTACTTATATTATTTACATGTTCTGCAGAATTTAATTTACTAATAAAAAATTTAAGCCCATTCGGCCTGCGTCTTTTTCCCCCTGGTCAGAAAAAGGACCTGCCTGAAGCGCTGCGCGTACTAGTGGCTTTAAAAGAATGTTAACACAATGCTATGTATCCTCACAAACCCAATATACCTTCTTGTATATATATAAATAAATAAATAAAAATAAATAAATGAACTGCTCTACCTAGAAATCCAACATTCTATTTGTAACTCATTTTGAATGTATGTACATTTACCTGAATAACTATTATTATTATTGTTATTGGTATTATTATTATATTGTTATTATTATTATTATTATTATTATTATTATTATATTGGTATTATTATTATATTGTTATTATTATTATTATTATTATTATTATTATTATAATTGGTAATGATTTAGGAAAGATTACTTGTAAAGAAAGAAAGCGGGAAGTGTAAGGCCGGGAGGGAAGCGACCTGTTCCTCCCGCCACAACAACAACATTAGAGCTGTGCTGCTGCTGCCTGGTCCAGGGGAGTCTCGCACTCCTCACCAGCTGCACACACCGTCTTTATCAAGGTCACGGCCCCCACCTGCACCCTCACACCACACTTGTCCCCAGTAACGCTACTTTTCAGCGAGGTGTTACCAGGCGACACTTGTCGGGGTAGCTTACTAATGCCGGCTACCATGGTGAGTCCTTGTGCTCATTCTGTTTTGTTTTATTTGATTTTATTTGTATATTCAAGAGTTGTTAAGTTCTTGTACAGCCAATAGCACGCGTAGCGTTTCTGGCAGGTCCTTAATCTTAATTTTTCTCCCCGGAATACAACCCGCCAAATCGTTTAACAATTGGGTACCCATTTTACTGTTGGATGAACAGAGGCTAAAGTTAAGGATTGGCGCCCAATCAATCCTCCCCGTCCAGGATACGAACCCAGGCCAAAGCGCCAAACGATTGTCTTACCACTGCGCCACGGGGGACTGTTCTTGCTATAGTAGTGGGTCGGTCATATTTAATTACGTAATGGTTTTAATTACTCATTTTGTGAGAAGTAGTAAGTCTTTTATGCCCAGGGGGACATAAATATAATAATTTTGTTTTTATTTGGGTAAAAGATACCTGAATTTACCTGAAAACCATTGCTGAGAGCCGGCAGCTTGTCGAACGTCCCTTCCCTTTTGCCTTCAATATCTTCACACATTGAGTTACAAGAAGAATGTTGTATTTCTAGAGAGAGCTAGTATATACTAGGCCTAAAGGCACTAATACGCACGTTGTATTGACTGCTACATTTACACGACCTGAGAAGTGTTTGGTCTGCCTGTCATTGCTGCTCCTTGAGCACACCCAGCCCAACCCTACGTAACCTGGCATAACAAAAAATGGTTAAAATTGGTTTTAGGCATAGTATGTATAAGGCGTGTGACAGTTTGATGTAATAGCTTTAATGCCGGCACGGGTTTTGGATGTTTCTGCATCTGAATCTTGCGTAGAGTTCATGAATGTTATTGAAAAGGTCAAACCTGACCTTTATTCTAAAACCATGTTAATGAAATTAGTTTGTATGTTAGCAAAGCTTCGTGTTTCATCAACAATAACAAAAAAAATTCTCTCCCTAATTTTATGATATACCAGTACAGTATACTATTGTTAGGAACAGGAGGCCTGTTAGGCTTCTCAAGAGGCCCCATAGTCAAAGAAAAACTGTCCATACAATTGCCCAGCCAGTTGATTACCAGTCAGTGACGCTCGGACCTTCCCAACTGACTGTCATAAACATTATCCGTTGTACAATGCTATTACATTTTTGCTACTTCAATGGCAGCTGCATGTATGCTCTGTATTGTGGCACTTCCTCCCACTGTGTGGAGGCTAGAGGTGCTGGGAGTTTGAGAGACTTGGTGGACTTCTGGTGTCCTGGTACTTGTCTATTGGTGACTACGGGGAAGTGAGATCTAGATCTTCATGCCTCGCCTCCTAATTGTTTCTCTGACATGCCAATTATCTCTCTCAACATCAATGTCTATAGCATATTTCTTGTTAAAGTTGTGGATGGAATTGGCTTCAACACCCTCTTCCTTCAGTTCATCCCACTTACAGACTACCCGTAAAGGGAATGAGAACTTCCTTGCATTTCTTCAATTTGATTGCATATCTAGCTTCCACTGATGTCCCCTTCTTTTACCAGGGTTTTACACAACTCCCTCATGCACTCCTGGTGTGTGTCTCGGAGAGGCTGCAGGATCCAAGTAACTTCAGTAGAACTTCTGGTTTCAACGCTTTTGACCATGTCGTAGCTCAGTCGATTAAGGCAGTGTCTGGGATGATCTTGGACATAGATTCGAATCCTCGTCATGGCCCTTGTGGATTTATTCATTGATGCATCACGCTATTGTGATTTTTGTGTGTAAACCAAGCAACATTAGAGGAATTTTACCTCACCAGTGATGAGATCAAAAGGAATCTGTTGGACCTGAATGTAAGAAAGGCTGTTGGGCCTGACAGAATCTCACCGTGGATACTAAAAGAAGGTACGAACAGAAGCACGCCAAGTGTTCCACTACACCACAGAGACTCTATAGTGTATAACCAGTACTAACCAAACCCAACGTTGCACTGGATCGGACGAGAAGCGGTGTTCTCAACGTGGTATGGCCGTTGGCAGAAGGTGCTAGACTCTCTATGGTATATAACAAGTCGGAAAGCTTGCCCGAAGCTGGAAGACTGGTAATGTAGTCCAATATACAAAAAAGGGTGACAGGCGACAGGCACTGAACTACAAGCCAGTTTTCCCAACTTGTATACTATGCAAGGTGATGGAGAAGATTGTGAGGAAAAGGCTTGTAGAGCATCTGAAGGGAAATAGGTTTGTAACACACCACCAGCATGGGTTCAGAGATGGTAAATCGGTTCTCACATGTTTAATATGACCATGTTTACTATGACCAAGCAACATATATTAGGCAAGAATGAGAAAGATGGGCAGACTGCATTTTCTTGGCTGTCAGAAAGCCTTTGACACAGTACCTCACAAAAGTCTATTACAAAAATTGGAGCAACAGGCAGGAGAAAAAGGTAAGGTGCTCCAGTGGATAAGGGAGTATCTAAGCAACAGAAAACAGGGAGTAACTGTGAGGGGGAGACATCAGAGTGGCGGGATATCACCAGCGGAGTCTCACAGGGCTCTGTACCTGGACCCATCCTGTTTCTAATACCTGTATACGTAAACAATTTTCCAGAGGGTGTAGACTCGGTCATCTTAGTGTTTGTGGATGAGAGGACCGATGAAGACAGACTATAGGATGACCTGGACAAACTGGAGGAATGGTCTAGAAAAGGCTACTAAAGTTCAACTCAGGAAAGTGTAAAGTAATGAAATTAGGCAAAGGGAGCAGAAGTCTGAACACAAGGTACCATCTGGGAGGTGATATCCTGCAAGAGTCACATAGAAAGAACGATCTGGGGGTTGATATCACACCAAACCTGTCCCCAGAAACCCACATCAAAAGGTATCATCAGCAGCATACACTGGATTGGCCAACATAAAAACTGCCTTTAGAAACTTGTGTAAGGAATATTTCAGGACCTTGTATACCACCTGTGTCAGACCAATCCTGGAATATGCAGCTCCAGCTTGAAGTCCATACTTAGTTAAACACAAGTCAAAGTTAGAGAAGATTCAGAGGTATGCCACCAGACTAGTCCCAGAACTGAGAGGTATGAGCTACAAGGAAAGGCTAAAGGAGCTGAACCTCACGTCCCTGGAAAACAGAAGAGTAAGGGGAGACATGATAATCACCTGCAAAATTCTCAGGGGAAATGACAGGTTGGACAAAGACACTCTTTAGCACGGGTGTAACACGAACAAGGGAACACAGGTGAAACTTAGTACCCAGATGAGCCACAGATACGTTAGAAAGAATGTTTTCAGTGTCAGAGTAGTTAACAAATAGAATGCATTAAGCAGTGATGTGGTGGAGGCAGCTTCATGCAGGTCGGCATTCAAACCCCAACCGTCCAAGTGGTTGAGCACCATTCCTTTCCCCCCCGTCCCATCCCAAATCCTTATCCTGATTCCTTCCCAGTGCTATATAGTCGTAATGGCTTGGTGCTTTCCCCTGATAGTTCCCATCCCCAGTAGATTCAAGAATCTTTACACCAGTTGATTGACGGTTGAGAGGCGGGACCAAAGAGCCAAAGCTTGACCCCCGCAAGCACAACTAGGCGAGTACCAACGAACAGCTGACACCATAAACACAACATCCTGCCCTATAGTGCGGCAAGTCTCCCTCTAACACACGCCTCTGTTTAGTCACCGCTCCTCTGTCTACAGTACAACAAAACAAGCACTTAAAACCTCGTCATTGTCAACATTAACACGCCTCCCAACATTTGTACTGGTACAGTCATCAGGAGGATAAACCCTTCATGTAAACTGCACCTATCATCAAGAAGATGAAGAAGAAGAAGAATGATCCATGTTTGTTGCTGCAGTTTGGTGATGACTGTCCAGTCACTTGAGGACAACCTTTGAACTCTTCACACTCTTAGCAAGCTTATGGCAAATGAATGTTTTATTAACAAATATGGTAAAATATAGCTTAGTACTGTTGTCGTTGTTTTGGAGCAACGAAGACCACGAGAACACCAGAGTCAGGGATGGAGTCTTGACTGTGGAGACATGGACACTGGCAGCATGTCACCGGGCAGTGATGTGAAATATGCTTGTTACTTCATGAAATATAACCTGAGCCAACCTTAGAGACTGAGCTAATGAGAATGTTCTGGAGGATGGCATTGCAGTTGCCTTCCTCCTGGTCAGTCCCGTCAAGGAATTTGAACCGACAGGGAACACCTGGAGGCCACAATGGAGAATAGTGTTTGTTGCATAGAAACAAAACTTTTGGTGTGTGGGCCGTCTACTTGGTGATGGCATCAGTGCATTATAAGTTGGTAGTAGTGTAACCGGAGCAAGTGCCCATTCAAGGGGGAAAGTATGGCAAATAATTAGATGGGTAACTTCTGTATCAAGCATATGATGCCTGTGTCTTGCACATGGACATGGTGAGGAGCTTGGCCTAGTCAGCACTAGGAACAAATCTCAGAGTTGAGCAAGTTCCTCTTTCCATTGGGTAATAGGGTGTGAGTGCTCCTAACGCTGTCACGTCAGCTACTTCATTACGCCAGATGCAGATGGCGAGATGCAATGGGATCCATTGGAATTAACTGTTGTTGTTTTTAGATTCAGCTGCTCGGAACAAAAAGTTCCAAGCAACACGGGCTATGGTGAGCCGAAGTGAACTTGCCTGGCACAGGAGTGGGGCTGTAACGGAGGATTAAAATTAAGTATTGAGCCACTTATTGTGGACATGAAGTACAGGTACTGTACTGAAGTTCCATTTGTGTATGTTGGGGTTATTTCACCCATGGATGCATGCTGTTGTTTAGCACTTCAACTTTGATTTTGGCAGTCATGCAGTTCATGGAAGGCTGCTTCTCAGGGTGTGACTTCTCTCTGGGTTGACTTTATAATGCAGGACTTTGTCATCACTGTCTCCAGCGGGCCGTGTGGATGCCAGTCCCCACTTTTGGCTCTTTGGTCCTGACTAAAGGGGTCCCGACGTGTGGGTCTTCGTATGAGGTGATGGAAGCTTCTGGATCACAGATCGACCCAAAACTGAGCAAATCCTTGCCAGAAAGCATTAGTCCAAGAAAAAGTGATTGCTTGAAGAAACTCGGTACCTTGATGTACAAGAAAAGCCAGTGAAAATGCTTGAATAACTAGAGATCAGACGTTTCTCACACTAAAGGAACACACAGTTGGTTTGCGTTCCCTCGGGAAATTGATAAACTTGTTTGAACAATTTTTTACAATAGAAGCCTAATAAACATTTCTTAAATATAAATGCTTTGTTTTAATTAATTAAAAGTAAACATTAAAAGAATAGCAAAAGTATGAACAAATTTAATAAAAATTACTCAACATGACAGAAAAAATATGGAAATGGAAAACTCTGCACGTGATCAACCAAGGATTCAGATTTCACAGCTTCCCATTGGAATTTAGAATTGTTTTTATTATTTGGTGGCCAGATTTGGTCCATTGTTTAGAGGGGTCATTATACAGAGAAGCTGATACGGGTGGGGACACTGTAATGGTCATAACTTGCCTGGTAATGGTTGATCGCTACATGATTATCCGGATAAGTTATCCACGTAAAGACTCGCACTTACCTCCTCTTCTTGGTTCATCTGAATGGATTTGATTCCATTGCAATTGTGTGTTGCTTATCTTTCTCTACAAGTTGTTTACATTGCATTTGACATACTGTATTGACTTTCCAGGAGTTGTGTTGTTCTGCGGGCAGTTACGGATCGGACTGTGCGGCGCTGGACTTCAACTTTGACTGTGACGATGCTGTGCCGTGCATATTTTGTGATGAAATATTCAGCGTGATGAAGGATGAGCAACCATTACTCCATCACTTGTCCGTGCAGCACAAGTTTATCATTGGGAATGTGGAGCAAGTGGCTGACCTTAGACAGTGAGTCGTGTGATGATCATGTTTTGTAACAAGTATAAATTAACCCATGACAAATAAAAATCCATGGTACAGTATAAATATGGAGAAAATATTATATATTTAATGCAGCACAATTTGATGAAGAGCTCGGCTGAACTCTGACTACATGTTATGAGATTACCACACCCACCACAATGGCTTAGTGGTTTGTAATCGTGCATGGAAAAAGTACATACAGTACTGTAGGTATATGTACTGTAAAGTATAATATAACAAATAGAATGTTATATTGTCCTAAGCAAATAATGTAGTATGCATCTTGGTAGCATGAATATATTTGAGCATTCCAATATTTCACACATTTTGTATAAATTTCCCAAAACACACTGTTGAATAATATTACTGGAAAAAAAACAAGAAAAGAAAAGAGAAAAACAAGTCAGAAACACTGGAATAAATATATAAACAATATATTCACAATACAGTACTGTATCTCCTGCCTCACGGCTGGGTCAGTGCAACTGCCCCTACCCCGCCCTCCTCATGAGTTGGATTGTAATGCAATTTAACAATACAGCATTAGAAGGAAAATAAATTTCTTGAATATTTTTTTTTAATTGCATACAGGGTCTAGCTATTAACAGCTAGCAACTGAGAGGCTGGCCATTAACCTCTCGGCTAGTTGGCACAGCCAAGAGGTTAAGCTGGCCTTCATAACCCATTCACATCACTTACATGCACTGGTAACGTTGTACAGCGACTCCTTGAGGTGATACATATTTATCACATATTTCTAGGCTGAAGACTTTGCATGTGGTCTGTCGGTGCAAAGATGGCAGTGACACGTAGTTGCTGGCACAGCAGACTCGCAATTTGAATTTCACATTGGTGTGCAACCCGTCCTCAGACCAAGTCTATTCCATCCAGCGGTCGACCTCAAAGACACATTCAATAATTTTAACATGCTGTTCATTCAAAATAGAAATTTTCTCAAATATAAATTAACATTGTTATATATTTAGCATATTGTACATATTTAGGCATTGGTTAGGTTAGGTGTGTAGGTTCTGTTGGCGATTATTTGTATTTGTAGTACGTGGGTGAAGCATTTACAGCGCTGTGGTTAGAACAGAAGTTGTCAGTGAAGCACTTGTTCTGGAAGTTTTTGGACATCACCAGTTGTGGATGTGTAAATCGTGTGTAAACCTGTTTTTGTAAACCATTGCTGATGTCACATCAGTTCTTTTGCTGATGTGTTCTATGTCTTTCAGACATGGCAAGCCCCAGTGCTTTAAGCCAAGTTCTAGACATCCTCGGACTTGTTCCTATGGGTCCATTTGCTTGGTATTCCATTCTATATCTTAGTTTTTGCTTCTATCCAGCTTATTGTGTGTACTTTGCTCTGTTGTGTTTTAGGCTCTATTCACTCTGGGTTCCTTCCCAGGGTTATCACTAACACTTCCCCTGCACTGACAAATATCTCGGCTAGAGACTCGAACCATGGACCCCACGTGTGTGAGGCCGGAGCTCTATCGAGCAAGCTATTTGGTTGATAGCCTCTGGTGTGTTCGGGAGTTTGCCCTGAGAAGCCAGGCTACCAGGGTGGAGAGCTTTGCTTAGAGCTGTTAAAATTATTGACCTCTCTGTTTGGCCCTTTTGTTGATTGTGCTGGGACTTGGGCGTTTGTTTATACAACATGTAGCCCGCACCAGACTTGTCCACATTTGTGTGTTTGTATATACAACATGCAGCAGGCACCAGACTCGGCTACATTTTCATGTCCACTAATTAGTCCCTTTATCATAAATGCAGCCTTCCTTCATTAACTCAGAGCTACTATGGGGGGGGGGGGCTTCCTTGAAATCAAGCATTTAATGTAATTGGTAGCTCCCTGTCCGTCTTATTTCCTTCCACTTCCTTGGGCTGAAAGAGTTTACTTGGGAGGCTCGTGAGTGAGGAAGTGGGCTGGTGGGGACACGAGGTGACTGTGCTGGTCATGATCAGGTGCAATATGATTGGGGTGTTTACATTGCAACAGTGATAATCTGCCCCTTTATCTAATTTACTTAAGGCAGTGGCTTGCATTACATTGATATTTTTTGGTGGGTATTTTCCTCGGTTTTGGATTGAAGTCTTGATCCACAAGCTTCCCCTTGCCTTGCCAAGAAAACCAGGTTCTGGTCCTGACTGCCTGCAGACAAGGGATGGTCTTGGAGACATGGTGTATATGACTAAAGCTTGGCTGGACTGACACTTTGCTAGAGAAGCAACTGTGGGCCACACCAGCAAAGGTTTCGTTTCATTTAATGCTCAATTTTTATACATGTGCTCTTTACAGGTACATTCTTTACTGGGGCAAGCTACGCAGCTTGAACTTGCAGGATTATTGTGTGGTTTTCAACACAAACAGTGAACCTGGAGCCAAGGCAATGAGTGAAACGTATTATCTGTTATGTAGCAAACTTGCCGAAGACAACAAATTACGTATGGCTCTCGGTCAAATGAAACTGGTGAGTATATTACAGAAGTGAGATAAGATTGTGCTCAGTTTCTTGGCCCATGGATGTGGGAGCTTGGGTTTTGTCATCTACATATTTGTGAAGAAACAGTTTGGCTGTTAAACTTTGTTGACCCTTTGTAAGGTAACTAAATAGTTTAGTTATCATATTTTAACAAACGGCTTTTATAGAAATAAACAGAAGAGATGGTTTTAAAATGTATTTTATTATTATAAGAACTGAGAGATGTTCTTATATTTCCAGAAATATATAGTTGAGCAGAAAGAAAAAGAGCGCAATGATGTTGACTTCTCCCGCAAGTGCATTTACTGCAGTCAAATTGTATTTGGAGGCGTGACCAACTGCTTCCGCCACCTTACAGTCCATCACGGATTTTCATTGGGCAATCCGGATAACATAGTTTATGGTGCCCAGCTGTTGGACATCTTGGAAGAAAAATTGCATAAGTGAGTATGAATACAAATACAGTTTACAGTTCTCTACATCTAACAGTCACTAAAAATTAGCCAGGCAGACTTAATTGTAGACAGTAACAAATGATCAGTTAATTTTTCTCCTTGTAATTATAATACAAATACATAGAATGCCAGACCAACCTTGCTGTGGTGGATATGTGGGCCTGCGGGCTGCTCCAAGCAACAGCCTGGTAGACCAAGCTCTCACCAGTCAAGCCTGGCATCGAGCCGGGTTTGGGGAGTAGAAGACTCCCAGAACCCCATCCAGGTACAATCCAGGTACAGTGTAATCTCATAATGTGCCTTGTATCATTCTGGCCCCTTCTGAATTCAAATATTTTTACCTTTCAAATACTGTACAGTACAACCTCAATTCAACGCACTATATGGGACCAACCCCGGTGCGTTGGATTCGTTGCAAGAGTGACCTTCAGGAGGCGTTTGCATCGGTGTCTTTTTTTTTTCTTGTACACAATAAAAATGCATTAACATATTATTTACTGTACCTATATATTACTACTCTACTAAAAAATAGTGTGTTTCATTTGTTATTTATCTTATTGTTAGAGTTATGTTCATCTTGATGTCTCATGGAGTTGTGAATGCTGTACAGTAAATACAGTATGTACTGTCGTGCATTATACTGTTATCACTGTTGATTAAGTAGTTCTGCTGTATATTGAGTACTACAATGCAGTTTATGAAAACTTTTGTACACTAAAATTACTGCAACTTCAATTTTAACACTATGTACTCAATTAAATTTAACACTTGTTCTAGCTGTTCACTCCACACACGAAGTTTGCATCAGCTTTGCTGGTGCTCGCTGCTGCTGTGTTGGCTTCAGCTGCTTCTGTGCTGGTGCTGGGTACGGCTGTGCTGGTGCTGGGTACAGCTGTGCTGGTGCTGGGTACGGCTGTGCTGGTGCTGGGTACGGCTGTGCTGGTGCTGGGTACGGCTGTGCTGGTGCTGGGTACGGCTGTGCTGGTGCTGGGTACGGCTGTGCTGGTGCTGGGTACGGCTGTGCTGGTGCTGGGTACGGCTGTGCTGGTGCTGGGTACAGCTGTGCTGGTGCTGGGTATGGCTGTGCTGGTGGGCTGTGCTGGTGCTGGGTACGGCTGTGCTGGTGCTGGGTACGGCTGTGCTGGTGCTGGGTACGGCTGTGCTGGTGCTGGGTACGGCTGTGCTGGTGCTGGGTACGGCTGTGCTGGTGCTGGGTGCGGCTGTGCTGGTGCTGGGTACGGCTGTGCTGGTGCTGGGTACGGCTGTGCTGGTTGATTTTCTGCTACTAGTTCGTGAAAAATATTGACTCATTTTCGTTTGTTTCCTTCCTTTTGTCATGTCCTTGAGACAAATATCTTTCATCATCCTTAGGTGTTGATAAAAGCCTTGTAGCTCTGGATGAACGCAGACTAGGTCTATACACCCTGCTGTAGGCTGGTGTTTAAGCCAGATCCAGTAACATAAATTTCTCTCAAATATTGGATTTACATCAAATTATATATTTTAGGGTTATATATTTAGTTTAGTAACATTATTAGGATAATAAGAGATGTAAAAAAATTATTTTAGAACCAATTTATTAATTTTATTATTTTGAGGCCGTAAGTCACTGAACTGTGGCGACGAAATTGAGCAAAACACGCCTGGTGCTGTGTGTACAAGGATTAGACCCGTCCACTCGCGCTGGAGTTGTTATTCTAATAACATAAATAATTTCTCAAATAGCAGATGTCTATCATATTACAGTATATTTTCGGTTTTATTTAGTTTAGTTTAATTAGGATAATAAAAAGCTACTAAAACACTGGTTTTAGAAATGATTAGAAATCGATATTATGATTAATCTGAAACTTTCAAAAGTCATGAGTCATTGAACTATGACGACACAGACGAAGGAAAACCAAGTGAGGTTTACAGAACAGTATTCCCTTATCTGTCCACCCTCACTCATCTTGTTTCATCACAGAAAATGTCTATAAGGAGATTTTACCACATGTAGCTAGCTAATCGCGCTTCAGTCTTTAAATTAATTTACTAAGATACGTGTGGCACAAATCAGTGAACGAAAGTCATGGAAACTCAGTCGTTCACTTGTATGGACCACTCTGGCTGGTGTTCGGTTAATATGCGTCACTTATTGTGTGGATCACTCTGGCTGGTGTTTGGTTCATATGGTTCACTTGTTGTGTGGTCCACTTGTGTGATCCAACTTGTCTTATGATGGAATTATTAATTGAAATCTGTGATAAAATGAAAATTTTCCACCACTCTGTGAACTCTGTCCCAACATCGTAAGCTTGTGTTGAGTTCCGATGACCGGGCCGCGGGGACGCTAAGCCCCGGAAGCACCTCAAGGTAACCTCAAGGTAAGGTTGTGGACAACTTGTGGACCACTTGTGCGGTCCACTTGTGTGATTGATCTTGTCACATGAGGGAATTATTAATTGTAATCTGTGATAGAATGGGAAAGTTTTCCACCAGTCTGTGAACTCTGTCTCGACATCGTTAGCAAATCCGAACATCCCCCTCTTCGGCGAATCATTGTTCGTCAAACCGGGTGAGTAAATCCGGCCTAAAAAGTGTGCGAACTAGCCGGAGGTTCGTTGAATCGGGGATACGTTGAATCGAGGTTGTACTGTACTGTATTATTGAAGGTTAACTATCCAGACCAATTATTATGTCTGGATAACCAAGAAATCGAGGTAATCTAGGGGTTTCAAGACGAGATTTTTGCTTAAATTTTGGTTAATATGGCATTTATTTTATGATGCATATTAACAATTCCTCTTTTTAACAGGTACTGTATTCACAAATGTACATATAGGAAACCTATTTCATTTTTGTGTTGTATAAATTTGTCCTCCAGCTTTGAATCACAGAGACTTCACGGATAATGGCAGTTAACCCAATTTTTCCCGATTCCTTTTTCATATATTGTGCACGAGTTGCATGTTGTCGAGACTGGTCTGTAGTTTAGTCCTTCATGTTTTTTACTATTATTTTTTTAAAAGTTTAGCTAATGGGGTATTGCAGAAACTCTTAAACCTTCTTCAGTAATCCTGTTGATTCGTAGTCCAGTCCTGTTGCTTTTGCTACATCTAGCTTCTCCAGGTGTACATTTACCTCTTCTACAGTAACTTCAATTATATTTAGTGTTTCTGGTTGGCTATTGTCACCCCCCTACAGTACTTGGACACCAATCAGGAACCTCCTGGAACCTCATGTTGGGGTTCTTTTACACACACACACCTCTCATTCTGTGTTTCTTCGTCTCTACATTTTGATCACCTGGTCCTGTTCCGCTGTTTTCCTTTGATATGGCAGATTGGTGGATCTTGGGGTATGTTAGGTTCGGGCGATTTAGTACTATGGTTGAGTGACGTTGGGTACGCTGGAGGGGACGGGGTGGTTCATGATGTCTGTTCAACACAGCAGATCTGTGCCCCAGGAAGAAACCAGATGTCTGAAATATTTTATGAATTAGTGGCTTTATATAATACATAATTACTACACCCACTTAATAACAACTGTTACACTGTTCTTCTGAATAGTTTATAAATAAAATTTTAATATCTTTAACAAAATTATTTGTTTCTGAACAGATGCGTGAATGCGCTTGATTTTTATTTTTCGTTATTTGTCTAAATTGTGTATCGTGTGCAGTTATTGCATATTCTATATTTTATTACAGTTTTGTTTCATTTTCAGGCTGCTATGTCTGTTTTGTGAAAAAACTTTTAAGACCCATAGAATGCTACGAGAACACATGCGCAAACAACAACATCGTTCCCTAAACCCTAAAAACAAGATTTATGACAAGTTTTACCTTCGTAACTATTTACGAGTAAGTGTACCGTATGTACTGCACATTGCTCTACAGTATTTTGAAATCACGAAATTCGTCGTAATATTCTGTGGTTTTCGTGTCAGTTTATTTGTTGGTTATTTGTTGTCAGCCACATTGACTTGTTCTGCATTATTCTTTTATTAGTATTATAAGGAATTATATATTGTTTATTTTAGATGTTGCATTTAGGCTATTGTAAACTGTTAGTAAATAAATTTGTTGTAACTTTTTGAATTTAGGTTTTGCATGCATAACCCTCACACTGCTCTAATTGCTGTATGCACTTCCTTTTCTTGTTTGTTAACTGTTTTTACTCATGCTTTTCTTGATGTAAATAGCTGTACCATTTAGGAGTTAAATTCCAGCTGTCAGTTGCATGCATAATATGTAATGTCCATGAAGAGAAGACGGGTGTTTCTAGGGGGGGTGGGGGAATTGACCCCTTGTGGCTCCCTGAGGCCATCTCGGTGAGCTGGCCCCCTAACTACTGGATCACATCAGCTGTGGGGATAAGTTTGGCCTACCGGGGACAATAGTGGGAACCTGGTTTCATCCCCCCCACCCCCTCTTACCCCCTCAGAGAGGCAGAGAGCAGGTGACACGTTGTCACCTGACTGGGGAAGGTGGTCAGAAAGTCAGCAAACCAGTGCAGACTACTGCTGGATTCAGAGAGATTGAAGCCTCGCAATCCACTGAACAAACTCTGCCAACAATGTGAACAAATGACTGAGAATTTCTCAAAACAAGTGCGTTTGTTTACCCTGCTCCTCCCACTCATTTGGGGAAAATATGGGGGACCGGTACTCGTGCTGTCCACGGCTCCTCGGAATCATTGACAGGTACGCACACAGAATCCCCTAACCCACTCTGCTACCTCCATGTTTGGGAAACTGAGCATCAATGCACTAGTCTGCTTCCCCGCAATTTTTTAATTTTTTACTTGAACAGAACTTGGGGTTATTCCCTAGCGAGTGTGCATCATATATGAACATTATCGTGAAATAATCTGCTAGTCGTCCCAGGACTGATCTGTGAAGGAACCCCATTGTTATGAGACTTTTAAGTTTAAGAAAAGTAACAAGAATCTCGTCCTTTTTATTATTATTATTATTATTATTATTATTATTATTATTATTATTATTATTATTACTATTATTATTATAATTTAACTCAGTAGTGTGATAAATAGTATTAGATAAACAATTACTTTTAAAGGATAAATATGTAACTGAATTTGAATGCTGGCATGAGTAATGTGTAAAGTAATGACTAAAGATTTCTGAATTCTGCAGCCAGGAACCCCTTGGGAAGAGGCCAAACGTGACCTTGATGGTGAAAGTGACACAGAGAGCTTCACCAGCGACAGGGTGGAGAGAAGGCGTTATGACGAACACCTGTGGACTGATTGGAGAGACGATGACACACTTCCTACTACCTGCCTCTTCTGCCACTATACAACAAGCAAGGTTAGTGTTGCTTCATGTTGAGGCTCATGTAGCACAGTAGTCGGCACGGTCCCTCCACAACCAAGGTTCCGGGTTCATTTCTTGAAGTAGGACAAAGATGTTTGGTCACATTTCCTTTCTAATGAGACCTTACACCTGATTCATTTGTTCACCTAGTAGTAAGTACTACCCAAGAGTTGGGCAGCTGTTGTGGTTAGCAGGGAGCCAGTCGGCCGAGCAGACAGCATGCTGGACTTTTGATCCTGTGGTCCTGGGTTCGATCCCGGACGCCAGCGAGAAACAATGGGCAGTTTCTTTCACCCTATGTCCCTGTTACCTAGCAGTAAAATAGGTACCTGGGTGTTAGTCAGCTGTCACAGGCTGCTTCCTAGGGGTGGAGGCCTGATCGAGGACTGGGCCGCGGGGACACTAAAGCCCCGAAATCATCTCAAGATAATCTCAAGATAAAGCATCCTACAGAAGGCGAGTTGTTGGCCTAGGGATGCATTAATGAACCCAACATGCTTCTTGTCCCAAAAAAAGGGAAAGCATGCAGCCCGTCCACTTACAAATTACATCCCTTTTCGCTCGTAAGTATTATGACCAAAAATCCCTGTACAGTATTGTAATATAAAAACAATGGAAATATAATTTTCCAAATAAAATGGACCCAAAGCAGCAAGTTTTGGGTCCCCTGGTAGGTTAGGAGAGCAGCCAGTTTTCCTAAGGTTCCAAAACATCAAGAAAACGGTCAATTTAAAGTGTCCTCTCCTAACCTAACAGGCTAAGCCAGAGAACCCAAAATGGAAAACGGGACAGTAGGTCAATTTAATTTACTAGTACGCCGATTTTTAGTCTTGGTGCGCATGCAAGTGTAAATCTACATAACCAGTAAGAGGACGGGTTGAAGCATGTGTGAAGGTATAACTTATTAACATTTGTGTACAGTTATTGGATACTTCCTATGTTTTGTAATGACCTCCTCGGTTGATATTGGATACATTTATTATTTTATTTGTACTGTGTGCTTATCACAAGAATGCTGTCAGGTGTAATACGTATGTTTGAAATGGTATCAAGTGACTGGTCTGATGGTTATGTAGGTATACTCAAGGGCTGTGTAATCTTCCTATGGAGGTTATGGGAAATCTTGTTCCAGGTTCCAAACAAATGTTATACAAACACAGTTTCAGAACGTAACCTGTTTGTAGTAGGGGAAACTGCCTATCTTGGGTGTGTTTGTAAATACTTTTCATGCATTCTAACTTGGCTACACCCTCCGTGCAGGCAACTTTCTCAATTTGCCACTTTGTACAAAAAAATATAAATTTTTGCCTAACCCCAAAGGTACAAACCCAGGCAACCCCACTAACCTTTTGAGATCAATGCATAGAAAATGCCAATATTATGATGCTTTATATTTTGCTAATTCATTACATTTTTAATGGAAACGTTGATTTTATAAAAAAAATAGGACCTGTTAGGTTAGGCTTAATAACCAGGGAACAAGACACAGGTATACGTTCCTTGACCACCCTTCATAACCAGGGAACAAGACACAGGGATATGTTCCTTGACCACCCTTCATAACCAGGGAACAACACACAGGGATATGTTCCTTGACTACCCTTCATAACCAGGGAACAAGACACAGGGATATGTTCCTTGACCACCCTTCATAACCAGGGAACAACACACAGGTATACGTTCCTTGACGACCCTTCATAACCAGGGAACAAGACACAGGGATATGTTCCTTGACCACCCTTCATAACCAGGGAACAACACACAGGGATATGTTCCTTGACCACCCTTCATAACCAGGGAACAACACACAGGGATATGTTCCTTGACTACCCTTCATAACCAGGGAACAACACACAGGGATATGTTCCTTGACTACCCTTCATAACCAGGGAACAACACACAGGGATATGTTCCTTGACCACCCTTCATAACCAGGGAACAACACACAGGGACACGTTCCTTGACCACCCTTCATAACCAGGGAACAACACACAGGGATATGTTCCTTGACCACCCTTCATAACCAGGGAACAAGACACAGGGATATGTTCCTTGACCACCCTTCATAACCAGGGAACAACACACAGGGATATGTTCCTTGACCACCCTTCATAACCAGGGAACAAGACACAGGGATATGTTCCTTGACCACCCTTCATAACCAGGGAACAACACACAGGGATATGTTCCTTGACTACCCTTCATAACCAGGGAACAACACACAGGGATACGTTCCTTGACCACCCTTCATAACCAGGGAACAACACACAGGGACACGTTCCTTGACCACCCTTCATAACCAGGGAACAACACACAGGGATACGTTCCTTGACCACCCTTCATAACCAGGGAACAAGACACAGGGATATGTTCCTTGACTACCCTTCATAACCAGGGAACAACACACAGGGACACGTTCCTTGACCACCCTTCATAACCAGGGAACAAGACACAGGGATACGTCCTTGACCACCCTTCATAACCAGGGAACAACACAGGGATACGTTCCTTGACCACCCTTCATAACCAGGGAACAAGACACAGGGATACGTTCCTTGACCACCCTTCATAACCAGGGAACAAGACACAGGGACACGTTCCTTGACCACCCTTCATAACCAGGGAACAACACACAGGGATACGTTCCTTGACCACCCTTCATAACCAGGGAACAAGACACAGGGATATGTTCCTTGACTACCCTTCATAACCAGGGAACAAGACACAGGGATATGTTCCTTGACCACCCTTCATAACCAGGGAACAAGACACAGGGATACGTTCCTTGACCACCCTTCATAACCAGGGAACAAGACACAGGGATATGTTCCTTGACCACCCTTCATAACCAGGGAACAAGACACAGGGATATGTTCCTTGACCACCCTTCATAACCAGGGAACAAGACACAGGGATATGTTCCTTGACCACCCTTCATAACCAGGGAACAACACACAGGGATACGTTCCTTGACCACCCTTCATAACCAGGGAACAACACACAGGGATATGTTCCTTGACCACCCTTCATAACCAGGGAACAACACACAGGGATATGTTCCTTGACCACCCTTCATAACCAGGGAACAAGACACAGGGATATGTTCCTTGACCACCCTTCATAACCAGGGAACAACACACAGGGATATGTTCCTTGACCACCCTTCATAACCAGGGAACAACACACAGGGATACGTTCCTTGACCACCCTTCATAACCAGGGAACAACACACAGGATACGTTCCTTGACCACCCTTCATGCATCCTGTTCTCTCCAGCATTCCCAACGTCACTAAACTGATGTACTAAATTTTCAAAATCAAACCAAACCTAACCGAGAGCCCAGAAAAAAGAAAACGGGACATTGTCAATTTTTTTAAGCTTTGATTTATAGTACAGTACATCAGTTTTTGGCCTTGGGGAACATCAAGATGTGATGTACTATTGGAGAGGCCGGGTTGCTTCATCACCTGAAAACGGGGCACAGTGATGCATTATTCCTTGAACATCCTTCAGTGATCATTTGAATATTTTACTTACTTTGTATTTCAGGTTCGTAATGGACTCTTTCACCACATGAAGCTTCACCATAAGTTTGATTTTGAACACATCACAAAGAAATTTGGCTTTTACGAACAAGTTAAAATTGTCAACTACACAAGGTCATGCGTAAGTTAAAACCCGTTATGTATTAACATATATTCTGGGCTGGTCCTTCGTTAGTTTCCCCCAAGTTTGTGCAATGATAATTATTGCATGCAATAGTGAGGTCAACCACCTGTGAGGTTGTCTTATCAGGGACAAGGGGCCCTAACCTGACCTCGTTAATCCCTCTTGCCCCTCTTGAAAGAGGCAAGGAGCAAATGCCCTGTTGGCACAATATCAGAGTAATGTTGGTTCAACACTGAATCAACGAGAAAATCGGTAGGTGCAATGAGGAGGATTTGAACCTATTCTCTGGGTATTCCCAAGTAAACGCCTTCAACCACTACACCACGACATGATCAAAAGTAATGCAACCTGGGATTGAACTGAATCTTCTAGCCCCTAGAGGATTCAGTTCAATCCCAGGACTTCAGTTTACCCAGTTCAATCTTGGGACCCCCTAGAGTTTAGGGGTTCTGAGGCTTCTACCGAAGCCTAAACAGGGTTTCACACATTGCCCCATGCACTGTGGCTTGTAGTTTAGGAATTCTACCTGCTACGCTTTTCTTCAAATGCACGGAGGAATCTCATTATGATGTATCAACGAGAAAATCAGTAGGCTTCAGTGGAAGCCTCGGGATTTCGAGAGGATTCAATTGAATCCCACGTTGATCATGTCGTGGTGTAGCGGTGTAAGACGTGTGCTTGCGAGTGCCCAGAGCATAGGTTCAAATCCACCTCACAGCTCCTACTGATTTTCTGCTGATACATCACGTTAATGTGATTCCTTCGTGCACTGACTCAGTGTTATCAACATAAATTCAAGGTTGAATAAACATTGACATTACCCGAGTGATTAGCGATGCTCCTGAATATCGTGCCCAGCGGGTGGGGGATCAAAGATCATCCTAGTACCGAGGATGAACCTGGAGGTCTGTTGTTGGCCATGGGAGACCTGGATCACCTTGACAGGCTTCACGTCCCCAACAATGGCAAGCTGGCTTTGTCGTTGCAGTTTCTCCATAAAAAAATTTAATTCCTTTCACAAAATAAAAAGTTTCATTTCTGACACAGTACTGATGCTGTTTACTGGTCCAGATTATATGTGGCTCGTCCTTCTCTGAGTTAGCTGCACAAACCAGGATTAGCAAGAATTTTTAGTGGGAAGGTTCAAAATTAACATTCACAATACTTTTGTACCACAGCAAATATAATTCATATTTCCACATAAAATAGGCATAAATATACATGGCTAGGGTAGATTGGCAGTCTGTTTTGGCTGCCAGCTGCTAAGGTTTCTTCTGGTAAGCATAGGTCTCCGGATATCATCCAGTAACCCGGCTGAAACTCTCTGTAACCTGGATTTCTGTCCGATTTTGGTGAAGTTTGGCCAACGAAACTTGGACTTCATTGTGTCCAGATTACCCAAAGGTCTGGGTTAACGGGGTCCGGATTAGCGGGCTCTTACAGTATTTCTGCTTTTGGAAGTTAGAATTGACATTTTCTTAATGAATTTATATTCATTTGAGAAGCACGTTAATCATAATTACAAAATTACAGATGGTTGAACGTCGTTGTATGAAATGTCAAGTTGTGTTTGGCACATTGGAACTTCTGCAGCAGCACTTGTCATCATCAAACCATTACAGTTTGCCCGATGAGCGCGTCTGGAATCTTTCTCGGTAAGCTCCTGCAAAACTTCCGTGTTTTCTGCAGTACAGTACTGTAATATTTCTCTGCTATATAAGAAATGCAAACTGTCAGTAGCATGAGCACTCGGTGTCATGTGGGGGAAAGAGCCTGGATACAAGGGGAGACACCACAACCACTTAAATCACCAGATATACTTCCACTATACAAGGAAGGTGCAAGACATTGGTTAAAATTTGTAGTCCAGTTGCACTAGCATCACACATAATGAAAGTTTTTGAGTGATCAGGAGTGAGAGTGCCAGTTTTATGGAGAACAATGACCTTCACAACCCAGGTCAACATAGACTAGAATGGGAGTGGGGGGGAAATTATTGGGGGAAAGCGCCAAGCCATTAAGACTATACTATAGCATTGGGAAGGGGGTTAGGATAAAGATTTAGAATGGGACGGGGAAAGAAATGGTGCCCAACCACTTGGACGGTCAGGGATTGAACGCTGACCTGCATCACGTGAGACCATCGCTCTACCGTGGGAAGATCAGGTTTTTTGCAGTTACTTGACCATTCTAATAAGATCACAGAAGCATTAAACCTTAGGCATCGATTAAGGTGATTTAAAACGATTATTGTCAGGGTATTACATGTATGATGCAAAATATGGATATAATAGGTCAATGTGGATGTAAAGGAGTTTACCTTGTCCCATTAAAAAAATTCTGCTACCATTTCATGGTATAAGTGCAGTTATCATCATGAATGTTACTAGGGGAATGCGGTCATCGTCATATGACCATTTAAATAATTATTGTTCAAGTTTTACATGTATGATGCAAATATGGATGTAATAGCTCTGTGTAGATGCAAATCAAGAAAAAAAGTTAATAAAACAATCAGTGAGATGTCCAAGGATAAAACAGGCAGCATCGGCATAGTGGAGCACCAGGCGATGACTTGTGCCAGGCAGTGCCTTGCAGAGCGCTCCCACCCAGTGAAACGATAAATATTCAATTACTTTCAGGTTTTATAAACTTACATTTTGCATACAAATTAATCATAATATTTTTTTTTCGTAGGCCGGTATGACTATTTTTCCATAGCTGCTGTCTAAGGGTTAAAAGAAAAACAAAATGTGTATGTAGTATACACAGACTTTGCAAAGGCATTTGATAAATGTAACCCATGAAGCCTATAAAAAGATCATAGAAATAACAGGTAAAGTAGGGTTATGGATATTCAATTTCCTGTCATATGGAATGCAAAGAGTAACGGTCAAACAAAATAAAGTTAGACAGTGAATAGCTCTGTACCTTGAGACATGGTCCTTGCACCACCACTTTTCTTTATTCTTATACAGTACTGTATCAGACATGGACAAAGATACAAATCACAGCTTTGTGTCATGTTTTGTAGATGACACAAAAATCAGCATGAAAATAACTTCTATAGAAGACAGTGAAAACAAACTGATGTTAATAAGATTTTGATTGATCAGTAGAAAATGACAGGATGTTTAAGAGTGATAAATTCCAGGTATGAATAAAATTCAGACCTTAAACAAAATACGGTATAAGACAGAATGAGATCTACCCATAGTAGGAAAGAATTATGTAAAGGATCTGGGAATAATGATGATGTCTGACGACCTAATGTTTAGAGAGGAAAACCAAAGAACTGTAGTGTTGGGTAGAAAATGATAAAATGGATTATGAGAATATTCAAATCCAGGGATCGGATCACAATGCTCGTACTATTCAAATCACTTGTGCTGTGTTGTTTTGAGTACTGCTCGATACTCACTTTCCCCTTCAGAGTAGGGGAGACTTCTTACACAGGACTTTCCTATTCAAAAACCATATGACATGTCTGTTATTATATCATTTCTCTAGGTGTTCTACCCATTTGGTTTTCGATAATTTTGCTCATGTACCACACTTGTCAACAATGATTTACTAGTGTGGGACTTGTTGGTTGACCCCTCTATATTTGTTTTATTTTTTTACTGTCAAGGGGAAAGTGCCAAGCCATTATGACTATACATAGTACTTGGATAGAGTCAGGATAAGGATTTGGGATGGGACGGGGAAAAGGAATTGTGCCCAACTATTTGGACAATCGGGAATTTAACGCCAATCTGCACGAAGGTTCGGGGTCTTCCGTTACCATTTTTGTAGCTTGGAACAGTACAGTATTTCATTCCCTTGCATTATCAGAGCCTTGAATTCATGACCACCGAAGCGGAAGACAGGAACTCTACCGACCTGACTACAAACACCCACAATAAGAGAGGGTCCCAGACACACATCACTGGGATCCAACTGGGACTTTCAACCTCTCCTGGGGGGGTGTCACACGGGTCTGGAGGTATTTGGTGATCCACGTGCCAGTTGTAAATTGCAAACCATAACAAGTGAAAATAACATTTCCTTCACTTCAACTCCTCTTTGGTGGTTGTGAGTGTGAGGCTCTGATGGTACAAAATTAGGCAAAGAATTTCTTAGGAATTCTTTGTCTAGTCTTTATCTCAATTCTTGTTCATATCTATGTCTTATTTATTTCTTCACATTCATGCCCCGTCATTTTCCATGTTGCATTTCCTTTGACTAGTTCCATTTTTGTCTGCTGTCTCCTCACCTTAGCTGTCAAGCTGGCAACTTCCTGCAGATTGCCTTATTGTAAAAAGTGGCTTTTACTCTAAAGATCTTCAATTTCTCTAATGACACAAACTTTCCTTGGTGAATTTTTAACAGATTTTCAACTTTCACTAACCTGCTTATAAACCCCTTTCACTTTGATGTCCAAAGGGTTTGGAAAGGGTGGGGGAGGTAGAGGAGATGAAATTCTGGAAGAGGATGCGGGTGTAGAGAGAGAGAGGAGGTTTGGAAGTTGGGTGGGCTGTCCACCATGGGTTGGCATGTGTGTGTGTCATTTGTTTGGGTATGTGTTATGTTGGGTTGTCAGTACATTGGCTGGGGGGCTAGTGTTTGTGTCCTAGCTGGTGTCTGGAAGCCCTAGAGCCGATGGAGTTGGCTGCAGGAGATTAATCTTAGCAGCATCAGGGTGATTACTCTTCTGGTAGCACAAAAAGTTTTTGTTTATTTTTTTGTTTGTTTATTTTTTATTATATTTATTTATTTGTTTATTTGTTCTTTATTGGGCATAAATCAAGTTCGGGATGGGCCACTCATCTGGGTCGTCTGGTAGGCCACTTAGTATTTGAGGTCTTGGAAAGGCCTGATCATGGATGTATCTGATCACTTACTGTTGGAGTGTGATTCTTGTGGTTGTGTGTGGTGGTTGATGGATCTCGTAGTGGCTGGTGGTGTTTACTGCTGCATGGGGATCTTCGGGGTCTGGGACATACAGCTGTACATGTACTTCATGCGGTACAGCTGTCTTCTGGCCAGGTAGCTGAGCCTGATGTTCATTGGCATCATGTTGAGAGTCTCATGAATTTGGTCTGTTCTTACCCTGTTCGCCAGCGACAGGTCCGCCACGAAGCGAAGTGCTTTGTTTTGGACCCGTTGGATCTTCAGCATGTTGGTTTTGTTGGTGAGCTTCAGGGAGATGTAGGGGTACTCCAGGCTAGGCCTTATGATCATTCTGTACAGGTGGAGCTTGATGTGGGATGGGGCTTGCCTGAAGCGGAAGAGCCTTTCTTTGTTCTTCCTCGGTGAACCCCCTTGAAGTTTTTCTTGTTGATACTTCAGTGCCAGTGGCATCAGCCATTTTGTATTTTATTCTAGTCTGTTCCAGTGTGATAGACCTTGCTCTAAATTTTCCCAAATTTGTATGCATCTTTTTTTTACTCTCAAATAATCACCTCATTTTCTATAATTGATCTCGATATGCTTATGATATCTGGGCTACCACTTGCAAACCTTTTCCCCACACTACCACTTAGATAATGACGAGTTAAACCTTCAGCTCCCAGCAATATCATAGTGATGTGTGTGTGTGGGCAATACGTGTGTGGGTAGTGACATTTGAGAGGGCGAGATAGCATCAAGATGGAAGATGGTGAGATAGTATCAAGATGGAAGATGGTGAGATAGTATCAAGATGGAAGATGGTGAGATAGTATCAAGATGGAAGATGGTGAGGAAATATTTAGTTTTGTGTTTGTATGAACAGCATAGAATATATATTTATAATTATTGTTGTTGTTATCCTAACAGGTATCATATCCCAGTTATAGAAAATGATGGTTTGCTCTGCCACCTTGGCGATGACGAGATGAACGATGCCGAGATTGCGCGTTATTCGTCCATCAGTGACGTGGTAAGGTGTAATATTAAGTTAATATTTTTAACATGGATAAAAGGCAGTGATTGTCCATCTTGAAATTATTTGATGAAGAGCATACAGGTGTATGGACATGTTCTCACTGCTCTCGTCTGGCCGGTTAATTTGATTTTGTTGCTCCCCTGAGGCTATTTACTTCATTCTTGTTACTCTAGTGTCGCTGGTTATATCGTTCTCGTGGTTTCTTCCGAGCGTGATTTTCACGTGTTCCCTCGGTGCTTCGTTTCGGCAAAGTCATTTCTCTGAGGCATCGTTGCGAGCACGTTCCAGGGTGTTACTAAGGGAGGTGCTACACCTCAGAAACTTAGCATTTCTGCCCTGTTGCCCCTTCTTCCCCGTGGGATGAGGATTGATGGTGACGGCTCTATAGTAAGAAGGTGGCTGGCTGGTGGGATACTTAGGTGATCTGGGCTGGTAACAGGTGGCAACTGAGGAAGAGGGTACAGGTATTCTTGACTTGGTCAAACTGTTGATTGGATTGTTTGCCCAAGTTGTAAATTTCTCACGGAACAACCGTTTGTTTTTTGATGCCTTTGACCAAGAGGTTTACTTCAGTTTTTGGTGGATCTCTGACCCTACACATAACCTAATCTCTCTGAAAGGGACCAGTTTCTGGTCCTGGTAGTTTGGGAGTCTATAGCCTGATGTCAGAAGATGGTACTTTGATGTTGGTAGCATAAGCTCTTAAGCAGGTGCTGAAGTGTTGCACCAAAAGTTGCATTTCACTGCACCCTTACTGGGAGGATGACCCCCAGTGGCTTCCGAAGCTAAATGCTAGTGTTGCCAAGTGTAGAGAGATGTACCAGAGGCTTCCAAGACCCCTCTCTGCCCTAGAGAGGGGGGGGGGGCCAAGAGTAGAATTTGGCAGTCTTGCCGAAGTGAGGGGGAAGCTTGGGCATCACGATTAACCCAAAATGGAGAAAGCTAAATACAACAAAATGAGCACTTTCTGGAAGATAATTATGTACCATGAAGTAATGAGGCAAAAGATTGTTGCCCAAGGGTAAACATCCTAACTGTGATGCATTCGCTCACTATTACGGTATGTGGCAGTTGAGGTTGCTTGGGGTGTCGGCTAGCCTGCCCTCTCTCACTCGTGTGCCCGGTCACTGTTCCAGCACACCTCGGACATGGCCCATCTGCTGCTTCATGCTTGCATATTAGTGACTATGGGGAAGGGAAGGGAACTATCAGGGGAAGGGAAGGGAACTATCAGGAGAAAGCGCCAAGTCATTACGACTATATAGCACTTGGAAGGGGTCAGGATAAGGATGTTCGTGACATCCTAGCTGCTTTTCCAGCTCTACTCTCTGCAAATTTGATGTCACTGATAATTTACACACAACCTTATTTAATTATTAATAAAGTACATTAAAGGCCTACTATGATAAAAATAAGTCACCAACTAGTCAAGAATCTGGCACAATTCGAAGAAGAATACCTCCAGGTCTTGAATTTCACACTAGTGTTTTAACGAAGGGTATCCATAATGTACTGGGACTTGTTATAGCCACAGATTAAGTGTTTATAAAATCTATCCCTCACATCTTGAACCTTTATAGCTATAAGCTGTATTTAGTACTCTGACGCCCATCATCACTGAAATCCAAAGCATGTGTACACCTGATACTTGCCCGACTAACTTTGGTTACAGCGGGGTGCAAGCCCAACCTTGACTATGGCGACAACTTTCTTGCAATGTGTTACTGTCATCTTGTAATATTATAGGCAATTAATAATGTTATTTTCCAGTGAAAGTCAAATAAAAACATGTTAAATGAAAATCATAGGACAATACTGTACGATGTTACTATAAAAATTTAATTTATATATTTTGTTAATAACGATTGAATGATAAATCGTGCAGATGATCGTCCCAGAAGACATCTCATCACACAGTAACTCGGTGCTGAATGACTCCAGATTAAGAGAGGAAATAAATGGGGCAGAAATTGGAGAAATGTTTGGTGCGGTGATGTGCCTATTCTGCCGGTACACAGCGTCTGGAGACTACGCTCACACGCAGGTCTACAGCCACATGCGAGCGCTGCACTGTTTTGATTTTACTGAAGTAATGAGTGATCTTTCATTTTATAGCCAAGTCAAGCTTATCAACTACATCAGATATAAGGTATATATATTAGAGGTTTAATGTGTTTCATTTTAAGCTTCTCTGATCTTGAGCGGCACCTTGGATACTTGTCAGCACCTCCATGGTCCCCCCTTCCCTTAATAACCTTCAGCCCCCTTTCCCCAATAAACCTTCCAAATAAATGTTAGTACAGTACTGTAATAATAATAAATGAATAGGACAAAATCTGCCAAGTGCAGCATGTACAACAACATTCTTAGTCATGCTGCAGTATTTGTAGGAGTTTGTTGTTTATTCTAAAGTTAAATATCGTGTGAAAATGACAAATTCTTACACATGTTTACTCTCCTGTCATAAACAGGTTGGTAAACAAAGAAAACAGTGAAGTAACACACTGAAGGGTTCTGGGCACTCATGTCTCCAGAGGCTTCATTTGTAGAGAAATGTTGTGTTCTGGACGTGACATTTCCCTGTGGTGTCAAGGAGGAAAATGTAAAGTGTTACGTACCTCTTGTATAGACATTCTGGAGCTGTCACTGCTGATCTCTCGATGGAAGTTGGATTACCTAAACCTGCCCATATAACCTCTCTAAGGCTTATAGAAAAGTTTAACTAACTTGTTTGTCAAGGAGGAAAAATAAGCATTTTCACAATATAAATAATACCATAATACCAAGTGTTGTTGGGGCTAAACAATATTGCACAATAAAATCCCCAAAACATGATATACCGATGAGGAGATATTAATATGGCGATGGGATTGAACCCACATCCCTGTCACCGGAGACCTGGGGAGTCGAAGGGCACATGTTCGATCCCATTACACAGCTTTAACGTTTTCTCTTTTACCGATATTCTTAAGTTGTACTCATTTTCGTATTTGAAATGTCTCTTCCATTAGGTGGCCAATAATATTGTTCAGTTTCACTTTTGCTCTCATTAGACAGCCAAGAGTGAATGCTATTTCTGCGGGCAAGTATTCAGCAGGATGGATACAATGGAAGAACATAGGGTGTTGGCCAACCACGTAAATCTTCCCGATCCTGCACTATATGAAGATGTCCGGTAGGTTAATCGTTTATACTAGTCTCGTGTTCTGTATAAGGGTAGAATTATATTAATTAGTTCACCTAGTATTAAAATAGCTTGCTGATCTACACCCAAAATGCTTCTGAATCAAATTAAGTCAATTTTGATTAATTCTGAGTCACTGAGAATGGAAATGACGATTAAAATTGTTGATTAACTTTATTTTTTATGCAAGACAAGTCATAATGCTGTTTTGCTGTATAATAAGAGTGTTTTGCCATTAATTCCATTGGGTTATGCAGCCCACATGAGGGAAACCTATGACACCATGAAGCAGCTTTTGAGGTGCATAAAAGATGACCAATATCAGTGGTGACATGAAGGATGTTGCTCTTGTGATGGGTGTGCAGGGTGGGGAGACAGTCCTGCTGCTCTCTTTATGAATGGGATAATCGTGCAAGAAATTCTCACCATGTCATGAGAGACTGGCCATGCCATCCATCATTGGAGCCTGGGTGAAAAACATCCAGTATCTACCATTTGTTGAATCGAGCGAGATTTGGCTACCACCCACACACACAACAATGTTTAATCAGCAATTTTAATTATTATATCTGATTTCTGCACGTTAAGATACATGATAAACGGCTCTTTTTCATCTTTTAAAATTGTTGACCACTGTAGTTAGCAATTAAACTATCATCGTAGGTTAAAAGTTGTGTGAAAGTTTATTGTGAATTGTGACAAATGTTGCGTAGTTGGGTAAAAATGATATAAAGTACTGTGTACAGTATTTCCCGGCAGATAAGATGCATGTTTATGGGCCACTATGAAGTACAGTACAGTATATATTGTATTGCACTGATTGTTTTCCCCACAAACCACTTGAATATCACATTAAAATAAATGTTTGATGAAACCTATTGTGGGGTTTCATCAATCACTTGGGGTGGACGGTAGAGCGACGGTCACACTTCATGCAGGTCGGCATTCAGTCCCCGATCATTCAAGTGATTGGGCACCATTCCTTTCCCCTGTCCAATCCAAAATACTTATCCTGATCCCTTCCAAGTGCTATATAGTAGTAATGGCTTGGCACTTTCTCCTGACAATTGTTGCCCTTCCCTCCACACAATTGAGGCGGGACCAAAGAGCCAAAGCTCAACCCCCGCAAGCACAAATAGGTGAGTACAATATTCTTGTAAATGATCAGTACATCTTAGTGGTAAATACAATAATTTAGTAAAATCTGGAAATTGCCTATGCTGTATTGGGGGATATGTGTACTTAATGACCCCATATCCAGCAGCCTTATCAGATTGGTATAGGTGGCTGCATCCTTGATGACTAGAGAAGTTTCACCTTACAGATGGCTACGACCTGTCTTAGAGGGGGACGGTCTACTCCAGAGACTTCGCGAAGCTGGAGACTCCGACGACGACGATCCTGACTGTCCCGATTCGAGTTGTCAAGGAGTGAGTAATCCAATGAAATTCAATAATTGATAAAGAATTCTACAGATAGTTCAGTTTGTGTTACTAGATATTGCACTAATGTGAAGTGGTTATAGGAGCAAGTTTAAATAATAAGACAGAATGCTCACTGTTCCATAGAGAGGTGCACTCAAAGACACTGCCGACGTGTACCAATCACAGTATACAGTTTTAAGATATGCGGCTTGCAACAATTTGATGCATTCCATACCTAAGATTTTTGCACCTGAAAATGTCTAAATGTCATGTAAAATAGATATATTTGACATGCTGAAAGCACAGCACCCAATGTGCTATAGGTTGGCCTAAGCTACTATGAGAAAGTTTGGGCAAAAGCCAAACTTTTTTAAAGGGGACACACAAACAACCTCTGATACATTAACCAGTAATATATATACCCATTGGATGACCAAGCTACACGCCAGAAGATGAAGAAACAATGTTCAAGAGAAACCTAGATTGTTAGATTGTTTTCTAAAAAAAAAAAAGTGCTGGACCAACCGGGCTGTAATGGGCCTGCGGGCCGCTCCAAGCAACAGCCTGGTGGACCAAACTCTCACAAGTCAAGCCTGGCCTCGGGTCGGGCTTGGGGAGAACAACAACGCCCACAACCCCATCAAGCAGGTATTATAACAAAACGTCGTCTCTTCATCTCCTGGTGTGTGGTCTGGTCATCCTATCTTCAGCCACATTATTGTGACTCATTGTTTGCATATCCATTGGATTATCCTAATACTTTTCCACTACTGATATTTCCATGTGTAGGATATATGTAGGATTTCAATGATGAATTTTATATCATCTCTGCCAGCTAGATAACAATGCCTGAAGCAAAGATTTAGATCGGTATGATTGTTGACATCTTGTAAATTGCTGTCAATTGGATAATTTACGACTTATGATCAAACATTCCTTTGCTCATAGTACACAGAAATGCACCGAGGTGTTTCCTTTCCCTAAAATGATCCTAAAAATGTCTGGTCTGCAGGTTGTGTTCACCGAGGAGGTTCACATTCCGCCATCAATCCTCAGCAATAGGGCCGTGCTAGAGGAACTACTGGAGAACACAGCGCTCCACACTACTATACATGATACGGAGAAATGAAGGCACTGCCGCACAGGGGAATTTTTTTAGACAATACAGTACAATATTCTGTAATCAATTTTAATGAACTGAATAAAATGTTCTATTTAAAATCTAAATCACTGACCTGTTTATGTATTTCTGTTCAGCAAATGGATTTTCATAGAGCTTCCTGCCAGATGTTTTCATAGAGCTGTTTATCATGCCTAGTTTGACATCACACACGAGTCAGAGCAAGCAAGTGTTGAGAAGAAAGGACGATGTCAGTATGGCAATACACAACGGAAGGAAGGAGTACAAGAACACAACTTGGGCATCTTGGTCTTAAAATGTTTGTTATATGTGTCTCATTCTAATAGAATATGAAGACTAAACCCCACACCAGAAGATGACGACATTTCAATCTGTCCTGGACCTTCACCAAGTTGATTGTGATGGGAGCGAAGAAGGCATGGGAATTAAGCAAGGCAAGAGAGAGGTGAGGGGAAGGAAATTACTAGAGGAAGGTAAGAGCAGGGCAAAAGGTATGGTTGTAATAAATGGGAGAGAAGGGGGAGTAATGGGTATAGTAGAATATGTTAGACCAATAAAGCGGGGGAATGCAAAGGTAAATTAAAAAAAGATGATGGACGACTTTTCTTAATCCTTGGGCTGTGCCCTAGTTTATAGGAGACAATGCCCTGGTGTGGAAGAAGAAAAGTTCCCTACATTAAACTGTTAAAATGCATTCCATGATCACACAGGACTAAAATGTGTACTTGCTTTGGCTGCGGTGAAGCAAGGAAATCTTGTCACCCTTCGTGAGCGTTCACAGAGCAGTCGCCCAGTGGTGGAAATCCCAGGCTATGTGTGGGGCGAGTGTTACATATTTGTCTCAGTGTTCCTAATTTGTTTTCCCTATTTTTTTTTAAGTAATATTACTCAAGTGACACTTTTGTAATAAAATGTGTGGAACATCGACATGCTTAAATATATTAATGTGATTAATATGTACACCATATTATATTCTTAGAACAATAAAAAACCAACGTTGAATGTAATGAAACACCATTTTCTGGGCGAGTCCTGGAGGCTCCCTGAGCTATCCCAGGCTGATATGCTAATGTCAGACTTTGGCTGCATCAGTCATGTGTATGGAGTTCTTAGGCCTAACGGGGACCACGGCCAGAACCGGGCCCCCTCAGAGAGGCAAGGGGAGCAATGGCCTATAGACCCCCCCCCCCCCCCCCCCCCGTGTGGTTGGAAGCATTCTCTGTCTGCCATCGACCGGATCAGGCACCCAGAAAGGTAAGCTCCCCAAAACAAACCCCTATTCTGGTTAAAATTGCTACCAAAAGCTGAACTAGTGGATAGAACTCCCCAACAGAAAACGAGCAAACTAGTATGACGTCACACGTCGCTGCGCTGCTGTCTGCGCAGCTCCCCCCTCCCCGGGAGGGGAAAGGGGGAGCCCCAGACCCTTCACGCTGGCTACCTACACCTCAGTTCTGAGGTTGAGTCACGGTCATCACTAAGCGAGACACACTGGTAAACAAAGGGTGTCTCACCCAGCAGAACCCACATGCTCGTCGACCCATACATGTATCAACAGACGTCGTACACCAAGTCAAATTTTACGAGGAATTTGACGTCGTATACCAAAGAAATCTTAATCTAGGGCAGTCGTAAAGCAAGGTACCACTGTATATACGTATAGTAGTAGTAGGCATCAGTCGTGTACTGTATTTATATATACATATAAATAACCACATTTTAATGCATCATTACAACCATCAAGCAATTATGGTGGGTGTAAGAATTGTGTAACCAGAGTTCAGCCTATCCCCACATGTTATGTATGAAGTTGTAACTACATGCATTTAATATTTTATATTTTCTTTGTATTTCTAATGGTTTTTACCATAGTTTTTTCCAGGGCAATGATGCATTGAGCTTTTAATGTTTGTATCACTGAACGTGTAGAACACAGGTATGTTTGTCTTATGAAAAGGTGTAGCATTACACTGAGGGTTTGGTGTGGGTCATCTCTTGTACCATTTTGGCCTCTACCACTTGGCTTATCCTTGTTCCTCAGATCTTTCCCAAACTGACTTGCATGCTCCTCAGATGCCACCATCTTAGGTAGATCCTTGTTCTTGCCTTCCTCGCCAGCTGACTACTTTGGGCTCCCCACTTCATTTAATTTGCTTACTGATGGGGAATCTGGGTCTTTTTCAGTTGGCCTGTTTAGGGCTTTTGGTCAACTGAAGGAAGTCCCAGTTGGTGTCTTCTCGGGGTTTGGCGGCTGGACTGCTGCTTTAATGTATAGCCGGTGCCTAGCTGGTCACATTTGGGTAAAAGATTCCTTATCAGATTTTGTCTGTTCCGCTTTGTGGTGTCTATTCCTTGTGTCAATTGTTATTAGTTTGGTTTTTCTGTTTTGGTTCCTCTTAATTTGCCAGTTTCTGCCTATACTATTGTCATCAAATCTCGTTCAGCCTAAGCAGTCTCTCTCTCTCTCTCTTGCTGGCATTTGGGAAGGTGTCCTCAACACTTTCACTGGCCGTCTTAAGCATTCTTGGATCTCTGACCAGGAATTCGTTATAAGCTCTGTCCTGTGGTCATGTTTGTTTTGTGCATTTCTCACATTGCTGGAGTTAGGCGTCTGTTTCCCGATCTGCAGATCAGGAAAGACATTGTGCGTTCGATGCTTTGCTGATGACATATTTGGGTAGAAGGCATCAATACTACTCCGGTTTCCTTGTTAGGTGTCCTTTTGGTCTGTTCTTTGCCCTGTATCCTCCTCCTTTTCTCCTGTTTTTCTCCCATAGGTAAATCCAGTCCAATCTTCCTGTTTTCAAAGAACAGCTGGCCTTTATCACTGTGTAGTTGCAAGCTCGGGAAGCTACTGAAGGAACTTTCCAGAAATAAGTGTTGAATATGATTAATTGCTTTTTTTCTGGTGGTCACCAGTAGCTTGCCCGTCCCCACCCTGTTCCCTGGTGGTTGTGGGGCTGACCATCCCCTCCCTGTTCCCTGGTGGTTGTGGGGCTGACCATCCCCGCCCTGTTCCCTGGTGGTTGTGGGGCTGACCATCCCCACCCTGTTCCCTGGTGGTTGTGGGGCTGACCATCCCCACCCTGTTCCCTGGTGGTTGTGGGGCTGGCCATCCCCGCCCTGTTCCCTGGTGGTTGTGGGGCTGACCATCCCCTCCCTGTTCCCTGGTGGTTGTGGGGCTGACCATCCCCGCCCTGTTCCCTGGTGGTTGTGGGGCTGACCATCCCCGCCCTGTTCCCTGGTGGTTGTGGGGCTGACCATCCCCACCCTGTTCCCTGGTGGTTGTGGGGCTGACCATCCCCGCCCTGTTCCCTGGTGGTTGTGGGGCTGACCATCCCCACCCTGTTCCCTGGTGGTTGTGGGGCTGACCATCCCCACCCTGTTCCCTGGTGGTTGTGGGGCTGACCATCCCCGCCCTGTTCCCTGGTGGTTGTGGGGCTGACCATCCCCGCCCTGTTCCCTGGTGGTTGTGGGGCTGACCATCCCCACCCTGTTCCCTGGTGGTTGTGGGGCTGACCATCCCCGCCCTGTTCCCTGGTGGTTGTGGGGCTGGCCATCCCCACCCTGTTCCTTGGTGGTTGTGGGGCTGACCATCCCCGCCCTGTTCCCTGGTGGTTGTGGGGCTGACCATCCCCACCCTGTTCCCTGGTGGTTGTGGGGCTGGCCATCCCTGCCCTGTTCCCTGGTGGTTGTGGGGCTGACCATCCCCGCCCTGTTCCCTGGTGGTTGTGGGGCTGACCATCCCCTCGGGGATGGTCAGGAAATTATTCCTGCTTGGAGGAATAATTTCCTTCAAGCGGTCGCTCACTTTGTTCTGCCTCAATGGCACAACAAGGCGAGCAACATCGTTTTTTTTTTCAGTTCTGGCTTGATCCGATTCCCAGGTTCCTTCTTGTAGAGCGCCAGATTCTGGTCCTGGCTCCCCACAGGTGATGTGTGGGGTCTCGGAGGCCTGGTATTGGGTTAGGTCTGGTGCCACTAAGCCTTATGCTCCGGGAGCTGCTGAGGGCTCCCTCTAGCAAAAGGCATTTCATTATGTTAACACTAATATATTGTAGGTATTATATTAGCAGAGTTGCCAAGGAAATCCTTTAAAGAATCTTTATATAATGTAAGAAAAAGGCTCAATGAAAGTATCTCCTCTTATATAAAGTATATTTAAACTACCGGGAGTGTCCAGAGATGACACGGTATATACATGAACAAATTACCTGCATTTGGGATCAAGTAAAATATATTGAATCACTGTCGCAAACACCAGCCATTTTTACCTTAAAAGAAATTAAAGAAATTAAATTTAATGTTCTAATCTTCAAAATATTTGTTGTTTATGCCATTTACATAATAAGTTTGAGATGTGTCATTGTCGAGTAGAAGGACGTGTGTGGTGATAGACGTGTAGAGCAGCGTACGTGCACAAGATCGCACAGGTTGCCTCCCTCAGCTCTCCTTCCCGGCTTCTTTCCAAGTATTAATTTCCCCTTCAAACTGTAGTGGTTCTATAGGCACTTTGTCAAATGGAGGCGGCCCGATGATGGCCTCAACGTCGGTGTGGTTTAGGGTCTCCTTCTGCAGCAGCGCCTCGGCCAGCTGGGGGACCAATCTCCAGTATTATGGCAAGCTTCTCTCTCTCATTAGTCATAATACTAATATTTGAATTATGATATTTTATTTAACAATTATGAGGCAGTATTTTAAATGTATACAACAAAAGTCTACTTAAGCTTCAACATATTAAAATATAAATGCTACAAAACAAAAACAAAAGTATAGAAATAATTGTCTAGCGTTTGTACCACAGCAAAATTTTAATAAGATAAACCTTAAAGTGTATTTTACCTGTTATTTATGCACGAGATCAGTTACTGGACCTGGTAGAGGCTATTTGGTAATGTGTATGTGGTTGTGTAGTTATGGGACGAGAGCTAAGCTCGTAGCGTCTTGTCTTACAGTTTCCAAGCTTCTGATGGTGTAGGCACACAACACCCAATCCTTTAATTTATTTAACACTTTCGCGCTATCTGAACGCGCCGGCGCGTCCGGTTTCGTCTAACGTAAACGCATAGTGGACATAAAGTTATGTCAACTTTTAAAATATTTGTATAAAATTCAATTTTTATCCGATTTACTTTGGGTTTGTTTTAAACTGCGCGCTATGAGGCTCTCTTTCTCACCACTAGGCTGCATGGTACAATAAGTTCATGAAAGGTGTGGATAACTTCGATCAAATGGTATTTTGTCCCAAACGGGTTGCAGGTGGGTGACTTTAGCCGTTTATACTGGTAATGCTTCCCCCATATCATGTATTATATGCATATGTCTGTTTAGGGAATTTTATTCCGATCAATATACAACCAAAAATAACTGTGTGCATCAAGTATAAACTTGACAAACATAACAAAAGTAAAAACATTTCGTGCGTGTTTGACGCTCACTGATATGTTCCAGCGTTGTTTTATATTTGGCGCTATTCTAATTTACGCTTTGTTGATATTTTTTACCTATGGGCACATAGAACATTCTATTGCGAACACATTGACGCAAAAATGAATGACGTACATAGAAAATTAATGTCATGAGAGTGAAATAAGTATAAACTTTCAAAGCGCCGTGCGTCGTCCCGTCACCGATACCGGGTAACAATTTCACCAGTTCCCACACTCTTGCGGGCGGGCCGCAATCATTATTCTACGCTTATATTCATATCACCGTGTTGGGAATTTCATTGCGAATCCATTGATACCAAAATTAACGCTGTAGAACAAGTGTGGAGGTGATTACAATCCCAAGAGTAAAAACATTTTGTTGCTGATGGGCGCTCACGGCGAGTCATCTTCGTAGTTATTTATTTGGTGCTGGTATCCCTATACGTTTCGTGACTTTTTTTACTGATGTTCTTCTAGAGAATTTTATTGCGAACACGTTGGTACCAAAATGAAATACGTAGCATGAGAACTAAGGTCAGATGAGTAAAAAGAGTATACACATTTTTGTTTTTACGCTTAAGCGATAAAAACGCAGCGCGCACATTCGGTTGGCTGAGTGACCTTTGCGGAGAGCGCGAAAGTGTTAACATAACACATTTATATCATTTGTACTTGTTGCTGTTTTTGATGTTTGCAAAAGTAAATTTATGTACATTTTCTCGGCAGCTTTGTCTTTGTAATTTGTGCCTTTCCTCTCGTTTTCAATGTTGTGGGATTCAAAAAGTCATCCTTTAAATTTCATAGATAACTTGAACAGTTCCATGTTTAAAATTCTCTCTATTTTCTATTAATTTTGGCATACTGAGCACCTACATCCTTTCTTCATAGCTCTCATTTTTTAAGTCAAGAAGCCATTTAGTAGCAGATCTTCGTGTAATTACAGACAAAAGCCAGACTCATTGCGCTTCATCATGCATAGAATGTCATGTGCATCTGGAAGATTACTATGAAAAACAGGGTGTCCATTGTTTTAGATCGTAATGGATTCTCTTGTTGTATATGGCACACCTAGTACAGGGGTCTTTTCACCCTAGGGTGGACAGTGTGTGTTGTCACTAATCTTCAGCCGAGCTCCTGCCTACGGAGGCAGTTCACTCGGTAGCAGTATGAATATGGCATCACACTTTATGCTCCAAGCTATTGCTAGTGCAAAATAGTTTCTCCTCTCTCTCTCTCCAAGACAAATGTAGCATTTCATCTTGATCACACATGCCAAGCCCACGTCTTAAGTCCAGCTTCCAGCGCTGCATCAGTGATGGCGGCCTGGAAGCCACCAGCATGAAATAAGACTTAAAGACGTGGGCTTGACATGTGCGATCAAGATGAAATGCTACATTTGTCTTGACCAGAAACCAGAGTGTAATCCACACACCACAAAAGAATCCAATAAATGAAGGTGGTTCTAATATCCCAGCATTGTAGCCAACTACAAAGGCATACTTTGGAAACAAACCCCACTTTGGTTTTTGCCTCGATATTGAGCGCATCGAGGCTGGTGGTGACTTAGGTGAGGTATATGGTGCCGCGTTGTTGCCAAGATGCTGGTGGTCAGTTGGCTCCGTCGCATGGTTCCCACAGATGGCAGGTTTCCTGCAAGGAAGGTGCAACCTGCCCTCTTAAAAATAACGTCGCTTTTGGTCGTTTGCCCGTATGGCCGAATATGGACGTAATTTGAAAATTAAAAAAAAAAAAATTGGATTTTATTTTCAACAACAGTAAGTTAAGGGTCCTCTGATAGGTTATGTGGGCAGGAAATTCTCATAAAGTTTCAAAAGGGTATGAAAAACGTTAATGGAAAGTTACCTTTTCTAAGCTTGCCGAGTAAGCCGGACGACTCAAACAGAAAACGGAACAGTACGTCACTTTTGTGAGTCGATTTCATTTCAAATTACGTCCAAATTTGGCCATAGTGCGCATATGAGCCAAAAGTGACGTTATTTTTAAGAGGACGGGTTGGAAGGTGACACAGTCTCCCCTTACCCACATGGGTGGCTTCCAGCCTAGATTCATTCAATATCGAGGCAAAACAAACCAAAGTGGGGTTTGTTTCCAAGGTATGCTTTTGTAGTTGGCTGCAATGCTGGGGCATTAGAACCTTCATTTATTGGATTCTTTCTGGTGTGTGGATTACACCCGGGTCCCTCTTCCCAATATGTCAAGGGGGGGGAGGGCATTAGAGGAGTCTGAATGGGATATTTGTTTGCAAACCAAAAAAAATTCAAAATTGGGATATATTATTTCCTCCAAACGGTTTAAACAGCCTGGTTCACCAGACCACCAACCCGGAGGCCTGTCAGAGACCAGGCTGCAGGGACATTGATACTAGGAATCATTGACAGGTAATCCCACCCCGGTCCGGCTTAATGACTCCTCGGCTCTTGGAAATGACCAGATGTTCTTGTTTACTTTAAATGCTCCCATTTTAAACAAGTTCTCACAGTTCTGCTCATCTCTTGCTCAAGCCAGGCAGATTCTGCCATTATTCTGCCAAGAGAGTTTGTCCTCGTTTAGATCATTAAGATGTCTTATGACTTAATGATGCCAGGTCTTAGATGGCATACGAGAGTCCTCTTGGTGGGCAGATTCGGTAGTTTTCTCACGAGGTGCGGCATTTGTTTACCTCCTTACTGAATTTCACAAGAAATTTCTTCAGGCCATAGGAATTTTCTATCTAGGCACGCTTTTACAGAGTCCAATGGGGTGTTCTTTAAAGTGACACACTTTTATGCTTTCCCAACCACCTTTGATCTCCAGTCAAGAATTGTCTGTGAAGCTTTACTTGGGACTTTATATTTTCCCTTGTCCAAGATTATGCACTATTGAGTGCATAATTTTGAAATGGCTTTTTTGTTTATGTATAAAAGCCTCAAATTGACTTATACTGTAGTATAGAGGTGCTTTTCTGTGATAAACAGCATCTGAATCTTGTGTATTTTTAATTCTGTAAATCCATCTGAATATAGCCTAAAATATACAATATACTGTATATCAATATAGGCAAGAATTCATGTAATGTGCATATACATCCAACTTTACAAAAACTACAATATGTAGTCTAGTCTCGCCAAATTTATTTTCTAGGTGGTGAAAGACTGCTATAGTGCGAGGTGTGTGGTGGAAACACTGAATGATTGCATTATTATACTTAGCACTAAGTTTACCAACTTGAGATCTTTTAAAACTCAAATTTGCACATCATACTCACTAATTTTAATTTGTCCATGTTGGCCTTCAGTATAGTTTCTGTGTTTTTATATGCAGCAAAAATAAGACGAGAAGCTTCTTGGTCAATACTTGATGCTAACTTCTGAGAGAACGGCCTCCGACCGACCTCTCGAGCCTCCTCTTCGGGGAAAGACACTTGGCCTATTACATCGCTGAATCCAAATGACCTTACCTGTAAGGAAGTATGAAACTTGATTTACATTATGCAAGCTGGTGTCATTTATATATAAACTTGCCGCATTCGAAGGTGCGAATGAAACGTAAAGGCTGAGCAAATTCATAGGAAAAATAAATTGTGCAGACAATGAGTCACAATAACGTGGCTGAAGATATGATGACCAGACCAGAAAATGAAGAGACAATGGTCGAGGGGGGACAGAAACGTCTTAGGTAACTTAGGTAATTACTTGATAATGGTCCAGGACGGACTGAAATGTCGTCGTCTCTTCATCTTCTGGTGTGTGGTTTGGTACTCAAAAATAAATCATATTCGTGTGCACATGTTCATTACCCAATATGTAGTGACAGTTCAAGTGATTAGTCAGATTTGAATAAAACTCCAGTAAAGAATGAATTAATTGATGCAGCATTGCTCTTATTAACTGCTTAACTGTGAAACGGTAAACGTGTTCTTACATTCTTTACTGTTGTTGATAACTCGTGTATACAATGATCATTATGAGGGCTAGAACCGAGCCTTGAGACCTTGCTAGTTCACCTGCCCAGCAGGACCAATCGAGGCTAGCAGAGCAGAAACAACAACTGATGAGGGATGTTGAGTGAGGTAAAGGGCAGGCACAGGATAAACACCACAAGGCTTCCAGCTAACTGTTACTGTGCCGAACTGGCCCAGCAGGCTGTGGGGAAGGAAACCCTGAAGCAGTGACTGACATGCCAAAACCCATGTTACAAGCAATACATGACACCAACTGCCACAACAATAAGGGAAACACCTGTCCAGCTGCATCACACACAAAATGGGGGACCCCACCCAACCTCAAAAATGCCACACCAAAGGAACCCAAACAAACACAGCTGACTCCATACACAGTTTCAAATGTAGATATGATAGAGCCCAGTAGGCTCAGGAATCTGTACACCAGTTGATTGACAGTTCAGAGGCGGGACCAAAGAGCCAGAGCTCAACCCCCGCAAGCACAATTAGGTGAGTACCACTTGCAAGATGACCGCCACTGCCCGGAGCAGCAATGGAAAGCTAATCCACAAAGAAATGCTGCAAAGTAAGGAGAGAACCAATCCAGGAGCACAGAAGCATGCTCTCTAATACAAGGCAGGAGAGGGAAAGGTGCACCCGTTAATGACAACAGGCTCTAACTGGGCGGAGTGAGCTCATGACCCAACTCAGATGAACAAGGAGGAACTCCTCCGAGGAGCCTGGAAATGGATGACTAAATTCAAGCAAAAAGTTGGCAGTACCATCTGTCGAGTGTGAGCACTCTAGCCATCTCTGCCACAGGACCAGGCAGAGGCCTCAACTAGGAAGAACCCAGAGTGCATGACCATAATATAAGCAGCTCTGGTGTGCAAATACATGAAACTGTGACAGGGTTTAGTGGGGAACCAGGTTGGTTGGAGAGGCAATTTAACCATCATGTTAAAGGGCAAATGATGCGTGTTCAAGCCAATCGAAAAAGTGTGATGACTGCCTGACCAAGTACCAGCTGGGATGGGCAAGACAAAGCATCCAGCAGACCCTTAGAAAGTCTGCAATCAGCTAAGAGAGGCAAGAAAATAGATAGAGTAAATTTTGTCAACAGTAGAACTCAACCAAGAGAGAACCGTGTAGGCCTGCCAAGAGTGGCCTAGGGAAGCCAAAGCTTGAGAAAGTGACTCAGCTAGGTCACAGAAGAGACCAGCAGGACATAGGACCCTATACAACTGCAGCCAAACCACAGGCTGCAAAGACAGGCTCACAATAGAGTGGGAAAGACATCATAATCTAATTAGGCAAGCTAGACCAAAAGCACAAGGAACAGGCAACAAGTTGCAACAAGTACAAGAAGTTGCCCAAAGAAGTCAGCCAGAATGGGCTGCTCAGCCATACAGGAAGAACTAGTAGTGCAAACATAACACAACTCTCAAGAAGGCTACAAGCAGCAACAAGACACCCTTAGCCCCTTAACTGCTCAACACATCAATAGCTGTGGGTAGTAACTGTCACGGAATTGCGCACCACAGCTATTGGTGTGTTGGAGTACCATGCAAGATTTAAAAGTCCCGCGGCTACACAGGGTTTACATCAGCTTCCTCAGGGCTCTCGTAACCTTCCCCCATCTTGAAAAAAAATCCTGAGTCCCTCACTTTCCTTCTAGGGCCTTAGTAAGAAAATGAGGACCAGTGCTTGACCATTATCATCCAGTGTCTGAATGTTTAGGGGCAGCCATAGAGGAGACACTAAACTTTTAGCAGCAGCAAATGAGTGATTACCATGTATATATTTGAGGCAAAATGTGTACTATATTCAATTTTAAGATTTAGGCATATATGTATACATAAATTATTATGAATAAGTATGTAGTTGTCTGTATATCTATACAGACCCTGGAAGACCCCCCTTCCAGGGTCTTTGAGTAAAAACCAGCGTTTGGTACCTGGGCTACATGGTCTCCCTGGCGTGGCATCTTTTGATAATTACTTACTTCTGGTTCCAGGTCTCATAGGCCTGGTACAATTTCTTAGGCCTGGCTACACCAAAGAATAAACTGCAGGGAGCAACTGAGGAGGCCTATCGGAGGAAAGGTTTCTTTCAAACCCAGAATGGGACAATGTGATCTGGATTTTGGAAGGTCCTGTGCTGCACTTGTCGCTCACAGAATTTAACGTGCAAACCAAAGCTTCACAAAGAGATACCAATCAATCATATTATATCAGAAAATAGCCACAAAACTTAATATGTATATTTTATTACTAAATATTTCTGACTATTTAATTCACAATGTTATTCTCAGGGCTGATGCCTCCCCACTACATGAGTGGGGAATGGGTAATGATACTGAATGACTCAGGGCTGATGCCTCCCCACTACATGAGTGGGGAATGGGTAATGATACTGAATGACTCAGGGCTGATGCCTCCCCACTACATGAGTGGGGAATGGGTAATGATACTGAATGAATAAACAAACAAAATGAAAGTTCTAACCTGGGCATAAGCCATTTTTGTGACCTTTTCAAGATCGTTTTGTGCTCCTGTCGTCACCCTGTTGAACACCAGAGACTCTGCAACACGACCGCCCAGAGCCATGCACATTCTTTCAAATATCTGCAATGAATAATTAGTAAAAATTTATTTTGTGAAAAAATTTTGGGAATTGTACATAATAAAATTTTCTCTTATAAAAGTCAATAACACAGCTGTGATTGTAATCAAATGTCCCTTCCTGAGCAGCACCTAGGTAGCTTTCCTTAGCATGTACTCCAAGGCAAAAAGATCCATCTGAGAGATTGAGCATTTTCTACTGTATATCCATAAAAAAAGGCTCTGTCCACCTCCACCTTTGCTGAAACTGTGGCTGTATGTGAACATGTCTGACGCCCTCTTCAGTGAGGACCGTGTTGAGGATTAGAGCTTGAAAGTTCAGCAGTGAAGCAGGATAATCACCCTCTGAAAAGAATGAACCAGTAGAAAGTAACCCACATGAAGGCTGAAGGCCAAACCACACTGGAGAGGATTATGCTAAAGCATCATCCAGAGCACTGCTAAGTCACCATATAGTGTGCCAGTTTGCACTGGGCGAGAGCATACAATATAGCCCCAATCTGGAAGACCTGGCTCTGACCAGGAGACTAGACCCCCCAGGATGGGTCAAAAAGCAACCAAGGTTCCTCCTTGGAAACCTTGGACATGGGGGTCTTCAGTTCTCCCCTGTCCTCGGTGGGTTCCCGTTTGTTCTCTTCCCAGAGTGGGTCTCTCTGCCTTTGCAGTCTGTTCTCTCTCTATTTTTCCTCTGCATTCTTGCTTGATCTTAGGACTGTCTCTTTCAGCCTTGCAGGTGACCTCTTGGTTTTTTGGGTCTGCAGGCAATCCCTTTGCTTGGCCTTTTTCTTTCATTTCGAGAACTGGTTTGATTTCATAGGTAATTAATTCTTGGTTCCTTCAGCTTGTTCGAGTTCTCTCAGAATTTTGATGCACCGCATGGTTCTCTTTTTTGGAGGATCTGCTTCACACTATGAGTTCTTCCTTGGCCTCTGGTCCTCGGTAAGCTTTTAATGACTGAAAAGAGCCTGGTGTAACTTGAGAGGTTTGGGGGTAACAGGGAGTCATCTCGGAACCCTCCCAGAAAATAGAAAATGTTTAGTGGGTTCAGATTTTGATGAGTAATATCAGGCACTTTACACGTGATGTGCTGGGCTGATTGATTATAACAAGAACATAACAAAATTATTTGTTTTTTAAATATTTGTATGTACAAAGAAAATTAATTAATATATTATTTATACTGTATGTACAAACATAGGGATGTGTTATATAATTTATTTTAAAACAAGATGCAATAAATAATAAAAAAATAAAAAATATTTGAGAGAATGGATGACAAGTCTGGAGATGGTGTTTGCAATCTACTTGTAAGAAAACACTTATATTTACCTGTTCCTGAGTGTAGAGCTTCTGATCCTTAGGAACATACTGAGCAAACCCTAGTGCCTGGTTAGTTCTGGGCACGATGGTAACCTTGAGCAGTGAGTCGGTGTGCTCCAGCAGCCAGCCAAGCAGGGCGTGACCAGACTCGTGATACGCAACAACTACACGATCCTCTGGAGACAGTGCCTGGGGGACAATGTTACACTCTTAAAGCTGTTAAATACTACATGACCAACCAATCGTCACAAACATGTGCACAAACATCTCAAAACAAAGCATTATAAGATACAAGCCTGAACGATGACATCAAAAGAACATGATTTATCCGAGGAAATCTTGAGGGTCTCGATGGGGTGGAGCCTATACCCCTGGTGGGTGTTGAGGGGAGGGAACCTACACCCCTGGTGGGTGTTGAGGGGAGGGAACCTACACCCCTGGTGGGTGTTGAGGGGAGGGACTACACCCCTGGTGGGTGTTGAGGGGAGGGAACCTACACCCCTGGTGGGTGTTGAGGGGAGGGAACCTACACCCCTGGTGGGTGTTGAGGGGAGGGACTACACCCCTGGTGGGTGTTGAGGGGAGGGAACCTACACCCCTGGTGGGTGTTGAGGGGAGGGAACCTACACCCCTGGTGGGTGTTGATGGGATGGAGCCTACACCCCTGGTGGGTGTTGATGGGAGGGACTACACCCTTGGCAGGTGTTGATGGGAGGGAACCTACACCCCTGGTGGGTGTTGAGGGGAGGGAACCTACACCCCTGGTGGGTGTTGAGGGGAGGGAACCTACACCCCTGGTGGGTGTTGATGGGAGGGAACCTACACCCCTGGTGGGTGTTGATGGTGAGGGAACCTACACCCCTGGTGGGTGTTGATGGTGAGGGAACCTACACCCCTGGTGGGTGTTGATGGTGAGAGAACCTACACCCCTGGTGGGTGTTGATGGGAGGGAACCTACACCCCTGGTGGGTGTTGATGGGATGGAACCTACACCCCTGGTGGGTGTTGATGGGAGGGAACCTACACCCCTGGTGGGTGTTGATGGGAGGGAACCTACACCCCTGGTGGGTGTTGATGGGAGGGAACCTACACCCCTGGTGGGTGTTGATGGGAGGGAACCTACACCCCTGGTGGGTGTTGATGGGAGGGAACCTACACCCCTGGTGGGTGTTGATGGGAGGGAACCTACACCCCTGGTGGGTGTTGATGGGAGGGAACCTACACCCCTGGTGGGTGTTGATGGGAGGGAACCTACACCCCTGGTGGGTGTTGATGGTGAGGGAACCAACACCCCTGGTGGGTGTTGATGGGAGGGAACCTACACCCCTGGTGGGTGTTGATGGTGAGGGAACCTACACCCCTGGTGGGTGTTGATGGTGAGGGAACCTACACCCCTGGTGGGTGTTGATGGGAGGGAACCTACACCCCTGGTGGGTGTTGATGGGAGGGAACCTACACCCCTGGTGGGTGTTGATGGTGAGGGAACCTACACCCCTGGTGGGTGTTGATGGGAGGGAACCTACACCCCTGGTGGGTGTTGATGGGAGGGAACCTACACCTCTGGTGGGTGTTGATGGGAGGGAACCTACACCCCTGGTGGGTGTTGATGGGATGGAACCTACACCCCTGGTGGGTGTTGATGGGATGGAACCTACACCCCTGGTGGGTGTTGATGGGATGGAACCTACACCCCTGGTGAGTATCTGGGAAGTCCAGGGGTGCATGACTGATTCCATTGTATGGTATCAATTCTTTCTCAAGTCTCTGCTTGAATCAATTCACCTGAGATCGCTTCTCTGTACCACCAACAACTCGTTCAACAGCGTACTCCAGGTCGAGGCCAGCTACCACCTTCTTGCCGTACCTGGCTGCGTGTAGTGCTGCTTCATTCACAACGTTTGCTATATCAGCACCTGCAGATCAAATTAATCTTTACTTATTAAAATTGTCCTCACTTTTAAGTTCAATTCCCATCTAACCACTCTAACTCATAGTTTGTCTCTTGGAGACTTCAATAATTTGTTCCCCTTTCACACGGAATCTTTCCATTAAAATTTATAAACATTCTCAATTATTAATAATCTTTTGAATTAACATTTTATAATAATTGCTGAAGAAATCAAATCAAGAATTAATGTCTCACTTTAACAAAACAGTTATAAATTACTTCTACAAATAAAATTGCATAAATAAATTAGCACTATTCTCTTTGGACACCCCTCGTGTCCACTTTTTTTTCTCTCGTGTTCTAGCTTTGGACACTGCTCGCATCCAATACAAAAAACCAGCGTTGAATGTAATGAAACGCCATTTTCTGGGTGAGCCCCGGAGGCTCCCTGGAGCTTATCGGGCTAATGTGTGTTATGTTAGACCGGGACATTAGCTAAGGAGTTCAGACCTACCAGGGACCAGCGCCAGAACCTGGCCCCTTCAGAGAGGTTTCAGGGAGCAATGGCCCTGGAAAACCCCATATGGTTGGGGGTTTTCCTTATCTGCCATCGACCGGGGTTAGGCACCCAGAAAGGTAGGCGTAACAAAACAAACCCCACATGGTAAGAAACTACAACAAAAACCGAACAGAGAGGTAGAAAACTCCCTACAATCCCAAGGAAACAAGCAAACAAGCAAACATCACACTTTACTGCCGCGCCGATCGTCCGCGCAGCCCTCCCCACCCCGGGAGGGGGAGGGGGGAGCCCCGGACCTACCGCGCCGGCTGCCAAGCTCCAGTTCGGTAGCTAAGCTTCAACCAACGCGAAAAAACCGCCGACCGGTGGGAGGGAGGGTTTCCAGGGAGCCTCCGGGGCTCACCCAGAAAATGGCGTTTCATTACATTCAACGCTGGTTTTCTGTGGGGAGCCCCTACGGCTCCCTGGAGCTTCATACCCAAAGAGAAGGAAAAGAAAGGGCTAACCCGGGAGGCGGCCGCCACAAACTCTGCAACGCAAAGCCAAGACAACCGGTTGCAAACCTGCGACCCAAGGCAACAAGAACGCCCAAGAACAGACGCACACATGGATGGGCGGCCAAAAACCTGTGCGACCCACAATTCCCTGCGCCCGAAATGAGCCCGAGACGTCACCAACACAGCAGCAATTGCTGTAAACGTCTGAACAGCACGGGCGCAAAGACAGACCGCAGTAAGAAGGAAAACACTGCGGACGACCCGGGAGACCCGAGCCCTGAAAACAGGGAACGAAAGAACCGGATCAACCACAGCGCATCCCCAGGCACGGTACGCCGGCAACAGCAAAAAGCACAACTGGACAACACAGGACGCACCCCCCGGCCAAACCAAACAAGTACCAATACCCCAAGAACCCCTCCGGAAAGCAGCCGTCTCGACCGTCGCCAGGACAGAGAAAGGCTGCACACCAATAAAGCTACCACCAGTACCAAAAAGGAGGAAACTGAAACCGAAGGGGCTACCACAAACTGAGGGGAAGAGAAGAAGGCACCCTGAACAAGGACCAGGATGGCTCAGGCGACTCATGAGCAGGCCGGAGGGGAAACAAAACGCGAGAAGACGTAATAAACGTCATACAGTCTCCAAGACGAAGCTCGCAGGTGGGACACCGTCAACAAAACCACCTGAACACCATAGAGATGGCGATACCTGCGTCAAAATACCAGACGCGAAGAGCCAAAGAGAAGGCCGAACCAGTCACGGACAGGACCGATTCGGCCTGCTGAAAGAGGCGAAGCCTCAGGAAAAACGCCCCGGGTACGGACACCTATCAAGCAGCGTCCGAAAAGAAGGCCGGGCCGGCCACAGTGGAACCATAAGGACTGTTCTCGTGGGAATGGGCTGCAACTGAGCCAGAACCCGAAGCAACAGCTGGACCGGGAGAAGAGGTACAGGTACCCCCCACCTCGACCAGGCCTGCCGAAAACCTCCACCGTGAAGTCCTCGCAGGTGGGAAGGGCGCCACAAAACGGGCGACGCCTAGACCACGCCGACCCGAAGACGTCCATGGCCAGGAGTCCATAAGCCCAACAGAGCCAACAAAACGAATCGGCGACGACTGGCCAACCCACGAAGAGGAATGAACCGAGACAGCTGTCCACCAGGACGCAGGACACACCCCGGACACGAACCACACGGTTAACCAAACCCCCTGTGGTTCCGGCCAGAACCACCAGAGAACAGTCCAAACAGAGCTGAACGGTAGAGTACCTAGTGACCCAAACCCTCCGAAGCGCAAACCAGACAGCCATGAACACCTGAACCGGGCTGTGAGCCCGACGGACAGACAGACTCCATCAACCTCGGCCGACCTGGTGAGCACTGGTCACAAAGCCCCAGCCGAGAGACGACCCGTCCGTGAACACATCGAGCGAAGGCTCGGGGAGCCGCCAAGGGACGGAACCCCGAAAACCCCAAAGAGGAAGCTGGTGACGCAGCACCAACACCAGATCCCCAGAGGAACCCAAGGAATGCAAGAGGCGGAAGTGGAGTCTCCGAAGGAACCAACCGACTCCGGAGCCAAACCCGACTCCGCGGGCAGACAAGCACGCCGAAGTGCAAACTCCCGCACAACCGCCCAAGCAACCGCTGAGCAACCCGGGACCCCCTCCCGAACAGCCAAAGGCGGGACCACAGCCACAGTAACACTTCTGGAGGGAAGACAATGAGGGGCCCAAGAGCCTGAAACAAGGCCCAGGTCCGAACCCGGGACGGAAACAGAAGGGAAAACCTCCAGATCACCAGGAAACCAAACCCAGCGATCTGGAAAGAACCATCCCCTGGCGAGCAGACAAGCGGACTGACTGGGAGCCCACTCCAGCCAGTCGTCGAGGTAGGCCAGACACCGAATCTCAGACGCAGACAGGGCACTAAGATCCGGTAAAGATGCAAAGAGTATACAAAGTGCCCTTCACAAAATAGGGAATGCAATAAAAACAGCAAACCTGAAGCCCCACCACCAAAGCATTGTATGACAATCAAATGAAGACATTATGACATATGACAATCATTATATGACAGTATGACAAGTATAATCAAAGCATTATATGACAAAGAGTGCTGGGAAGACGGGACACCACGAGAGTAGCTCTCATCCTGTAACTACACGTAGGTAAGTACACATAGGTAATTACCAACCGTGCTAGCCCCAGAAAAACTGGAGAGGAACGTGCCAAGAAGTGACCTGGAGGTCCAGGTCCACCATCCAAGCACCCGGCCCTAACAGAATCCGAACAGGAGACAACAGTCCTCCGAGCAGGGCAGAGGATCCAGGGCGCAGACGGAAGTAGTCCAGAAGAACTGCATACTGGAAAAGCTCATGACTGCAAAGAGCAGACGGGAAGCCCAGAAGGATGGGGCGGAGCGACCACGCCCCACGCACCCACGAAGAGGAAATGACGAAGCGCAGGGAAGAAGCCCACCCCGCCAGCTCTGAACCCCCCCCAAGGGGGAGAAGCCGTCCTCCGACGCCAGCAGAGGCCGGAAGACAACCCAAAGCGCCCACCAACAGCGGGACCAAGCGAGAGGCAACAGAGCAAGCTGCTCCCCCAGCGCCCAGGCAACAGAGAAGGGAACAGAACCCCTTCAGAAAGAAAAAGTACACTACCGAAGTCATGAGGAGAGACTACGGGAATGACACCACACTTCGCTGGAAGAGGAAGTGAGGGGAGACCTGATCACCACATACAAGATACCCAAGGGAATCGACAGGGTTGAGAAGGACAGGATATGTAACACAAGGGGCACACGCACTAGGGGACACAGGTGGAAACCGAGTACCCAAAAGAGCCACAGATAGAATTAGTTTTTTTTTTTTTTTTTTTTTTTTTTTTTTTTTTTTGAGTGTCAGAATGGGAACGGGAAAGCACTAAGAAGTAATGTGGCGACTCCTCACACAAGTAACGAGGCTGACCCCCATACAATGTCACATGTAGACATGACAGAGCCCAAGAGGCACAGGAACCGATACACCTGTTGACGGACGGTTGAGAGGCAGGGCCAAGGAGCCAGAGCTCAACCCCCACAAGCACAACTAGGTGAGGACATGTATCGTAAAAGCACAAGCCGCCGACTAGTGGCAAAGAGCACTACGCCGGCCAGGCAAAGAAGGCACAAAACTGCATCAAAAGGCCCACCTCGACAGCAAAACCACAAAGTCCCAGCACAACCACAACATGTGCCAAGACCCAAAAAGCTCAGTCTGCAAGCCAGGAAGACCCCGGAACCCCAAAAGGCAGAACCGGGTCACACGAGGAAACAAAGTCCCCTGAACCCACAAAAGGGGGCCCAAGAGGAAGAAACCTCCAGAACGAAACCAAGGAACCCAAAGGAACCCAGAATCGAACCAGGGGGAGCCCAAACCACCACATTTGCCGGCGGAGAACACCACTAAAAGGCAAAGCACAGACCCCCGCAGAACGCCCTGGGAAAACGGTCCCAACAGACCGAAAACCGAGGGGCAAGGTGTGGGAGCAAGCATACCAGCCAGGGGCACTGAGCCTAAACCCAGAGGCTCAGACCCAAAATCAACACCCAAACGTTCCCAGAGGAACAGGCAACGGCAAGAAAACACCAGAAAAACAAAGAAACGACAACAGGAGAACAAAAACCCTGCAAATTTTTTGAAAACTCACCAGAGACGCTCGCTCGCACACCCAGACGCATGTAAACAAACCGCAACGCCGCCCTGGTGGCCACGCCGGGAAACCGGCAGACGAAAATGGCCGCCAGCAGGGGCTGTGACTGACGCTAAATACACAAAAACACGCCAGCAAATGTGGGAAGCTAGCAGACTGGAAGGGCGAAAACGACGCCCAACAGCAGAAAAACCCCTGAAGGGGCAAAACCGCCCCAGAACTGCTAGTAGGCATCCCCCACAGCCCCGGGAACCAACAACAGAGGCCCCGGGGCAGAGCCGTCCTCCAAGCCCTCCGCCCTGAAAGAAAAGCAAGAGCCCATGGGAAAGGCAACAAGAAAGGGCCGCTGGTAAGACCCAGAAGCCTTGGCAGGAGGCACAGGCTCAAACCTCCGTCCCCAACCCGAACGGGGCATCCCCCGAAAACCGCCCGAGTCTCTGCCGCAACTGAACCCCGCCCCGACCCAGAAACACGCAGACGGTCCTGAGCCGGGAACATGGAGAGAAAGGGGCGAGCAGCACCTAACCAAACGGGGCGGCCACGGGGCATTCGAGTGGGAAACCAACCTAGCATGTTGCAGCAACCTAACCTAGCTTGCAACACGGATGCCGCCTGTACTCTGAACAGTAATAACAACAGGAGAGTACTGGAGAACAAGCAGAGAATCACTCGCAAGACTCCGGGTCAAGGTGTCAGTGACCCAACAGGCAGCATGACGGAGGTAAAAATGGCGACTGTCACCCGGAGACAAGGGAACAGCAACCAACGATCCCGTTCAAGACGGGTTGGAACCCGGAAGACACATTCAATGGTCCCCCGAGCCCAGACAGGGGTTTCCAGGGCCCGTAGGGTAACAACTACGGGAAGCCCGGGCAAGGTGTTGCTAACCGGTTAAGAAACCCAAACATAAGAGGGTAGATTAGAGCACTGAAAACCCCTGAGACGTGTACAAGCACGGGGGCCTAGCAGAGGGCCGCCAAACACTACCAGTGGAACTATAACCACCTTAGGCAGACCCCCACCAGGCAAGAAAATGAAAAACAAAAGAAAAACCCCGCAAAAGTACACCGTCTCCAGAGGCAACAGAAACCGGCCGCCGCTTAGGTGGCAGGCTGCGCAACACCTTGACGCCCTAACCAGCACAATACCAATCCCTACCCAGGGCCAAACAAGGGCCCCAAGCCCCAGCTGGCCCCAAGGGCGAGGCAAATGCCGAGCAGCAAGAACCTCTACGGGAATGGTTCCCGAACGCCCCAGGGAAGATAACCCTGTAACGCAAGGGCAGTACTCACAGGGCGCTTAGGGAAGTCAGCCACTAAGCACATGCAGCCCCGGCACTGATGAAGTACTCCTGGCCACCGCACACCACAACACACGGCAGTGAACGCCACACAAGGCAAACACCGCCTAGGAAACTGAGGCCAGAGAAGCGTCAATCCCGGTTGACATTAGCGAACGAACTGGAGCTTGGCAGCCGGCGCGGTAGGTCCGGGGCTCCCCCCTCCCCCTCCCGGGGTGGGGAGGGCTGCGCGGACGATCGGCGCGGCAGTAAAGTGTGATGTTTGCTTGTTTGCTTGTTTCCTTGGGATTGTAGGGAGTTTTCTACCTCTCTGTTCGGTTTTTGTTGTAGTTTCTTACCATGTGGGGTTTGTTTTGTTACGCCTACCTTTCTGGGTGCCTAACCCCGGTCGATGGCAGATAAGGAAAACCCCCAACCATATGGGGTTTTCCAGGGCCATTGCTCCCTGAAACCTCTCTGAAGGGGCCAGGTTCTGGCGCTGGTCCCTGGTAGGTCTGAACTCCTTAGCTAATGTCCCGGTCTAACATAACACACATTAGCCCGATAAGCTCCAGGGAGCCGTAGGGGCTCCCCACAGAAAATATTTGTATAAAATGCATTTTCTATCCGATCGACCTCGACATAGTTTAAAAATGAGCGCCTTTAGAGTGCGCACAATTTGATATCAACATGAAAGATGTAACACAAAACTTGATGTCAAAACACTTGAAAGATTATAAATACGTTTTTGGTCAAAATGTTAAAATATTTGTTAAAATTCTATTAATCGTGCTATTATTATGGGACTAGTTTTAAAATACGCACCTTTATATTGTGAAAAATTTGATACCAAACGAGCGATGTAACATGAAAATTGATGTTATCAAACTGAACGAGTATACACATTAGGTTGAGGGTGTGATAATTGGTTCTCGTTCACGGGTAAGTTTAGGCTTTGCTAAGGAAGTCACGCTGGGCTTTTGGACAATATATGCATATACACATGCAGGAGATTTAATTGCGAACACATTGATACCAAAATGAATGACGTAGCATGAGAATTAAGGTGAGAAAACTGAAACGAGTATACACATTTTACTGATTTTGTGCGCTCACGGGTAACTTTTCCCAATTTTAGGCTTTGCAGTGGGGGAGTCAAGCTTGGCTTTTGGACTTTATATGCATATACACCTGTAGGGAATTCTATTGTGAACACAACGATACCAAAACGAGCGACGTAGCACGAGAATTAAGGTGAGAAAACTGAAACAAGTATACACATTTAGTATCGCCGAGCACTCACCCGCACAGTCAGGCCTACTTCGTGCATACGCACGGAATGCACGCCCGGGGCGCAATACTGTTAAGAATTACATCAGTGAGTGAATCAATTGCACAAAACCAAGGGTAGGAGCACGAAAACTATGACACAGTTAAGAAAAACTAGAGCCATAACCATGTAAATAACAATATAGAGCCCAAATAAATGCAACAAGGTGCCAAGATCACTACATGGGTGAGCAAAAGAAGACAGCTGTGCTGGAGAGAAACACCTTCACGTTCCCCAGTGGTTGCACGTGTTGCAGAGTGCATCATACAGTCTTTGTACTTATTAAGGTTTATGATGATTCCAGCTGCTATATGAATACAGACCCCACGATGCATTGTGTATTTGAAAACAATATAACATTATGCTGTAACCTAACATAATGCAACTTGTGTGTTTGATTTGAAAACAGTGCAAAAATTGAGTCTTAAGTGTAATGCAATGCCCTGTTCTGGGTGTCACCCCAGTAGCTTTCCTGAGCTTATGGCACTATCTTGCCAAGGACATATTGTCACTCTAGTTTCCTGCAACTTCTCTCTTAAGCAAGTTATCCATTTTAACTGCTCTTGCCACTTCTACTAACCCCTCTGTGTGGACGATGAGTCACAATAACGTGGCTGAAGATATGACCAAACCACACACCAGAAGACGAGGAGACGACTGTACTGTCTGTCATGTACCCCCCCCCCAAAAAAAAAAACATATACAATTTTTCCCATTTTAAATTTTGTTAATTAACATCCAGGAAGCATGAAAATCCAAGTGAAGTCTGTGCCTGTCGTAGTTGGCTGTAGTGGCACGGAGAAGTAAACGCTCTTGTGGTGGTAGTAACACGGTGAGATGCCTCACAGAAATTACTTGCTCTATTTACAGTATTTTCATTGTTTCTCATTATATATAGTATATGATTTTTTTTCATGCTTACATGTTGTATTAATGTGTCAACAGTGGTATGCACTATGTATAACTGTGGAGCTACCTTGTGCATTCAGCCACTGGATGGTGATATGTCCAACATGGTCCACATCATTTTACTAAGGCCGGGAATGAAACTAAGGGACTCGCAATTTAAATCCAAATATGGAAAACAATCAACAGATGTCTCTAGTGTCAAATGAGGCTTCCCTAGAATGGGTGGAGCTTTTGAATAATATGGGGCACCTTATATCATCTCCAGGCAATTGGAACATATGGGCCAATTGCTCTCAAATGATTGTAGCAGTGCATGATGTGAGGTGAACCAATAGGTAAAATTTGACTATCTTATAAGTTATAAGATAAGAATTATTATTATTGCAACGTCTCTCGAGAAATGCTTGACAACACCTGAATCGCCAAACAAAACTTTGAAAGCATGCAACAAGGTACAGTACTTAACAGCTTCCCTTCACCACTAACAGGTGGCAGCCCAGTGACCGAGCCCCACCAAGGTGAATATGTCCTCAAGAGAAGGGGGGTTAACTACCGACAAGGAAAGGCAGGCAGGCTAGCACCCAAAAAAATCCCAAAGAGGAAAGTGGCAGATCAAAATCCTTCATAAAGTCCACAGATTCCGCACAGCATGGTTTCAGTGGCGATAACATGTCAACCAGCAAGAGAAGCAATAAAGTGTCTTTAGCTAGACCCAACTCAACGAGTAGGCAAGGCAGAGCAAGTTTAGGTTACTCAGAAGGTGCTCCATGTCCTGACAGGAAAGTCTCAACAACAACACCAGCTAGAGATGATCTTGCAGCCACAGCAAGGCTAATCATAGGAAAGAGAGCGAGGTTGTCCTGTGTTTCAGACTAACAATAGGTAAGTGAATGACATTGGAGCCAGACCTTGCCAACAGATAATGTCCAAATTGTTGGTTAGCAGATACAGTAATCATGATGACTGGAGGCAAGCCAGAGCCTGAATATGTCGGGTGAAGATGCTGGGTGCCAATAGAAGCCCAAATTGGAAAGAGTCCAAAAGTGGTAACAGAGGTGCCCCAGCCACTCACTGAAATATGAGTGGATTGGAACATGTCAGTAAGTTCCCCATAGATCCAGAAAAGCAATCCTTATCAAATCTAACAATACCAATATTTTGACCCATATACAGTAGATACTACTGCTTTTTCCAAAACCAATAGATCGGCACATCTCTAGAGGCTACATATGATTAGTACATTATGTGATAAAATGTACTTTCATTAAACACTCACCACTGAACCCTAGTGTGAGAGACGCCATACGTCGAGAATAATGATTTGCGGGTTTTTCAAGAACTATACTCTTCAGGTGATGCTCAAAGATCTCTCGACGTTCTTCTAAATTTGGCAGATCCATCAAGATGTGTCGATCAAACCTTCCTGGTCGCAGTAATGCCTAAAACAAGATAAAAAGTATTATACAACATATGGTACATAAATACTGTTTAACATTAGGAAATTAAATAAATTTAACAGTATTAGGAAATTAAATAAATACTGTAAAGATAATAATGAGGAAAATAAATAAAACATTTTAAAATTAAATATACAATGCAGTCAAAAATAATTAAACTCTTGATGGAAGGAAATATGCCAGTGACCAGCATCACCCCTCAGCATGAAGAATAGGAAATATAGTAATATCCCCAACACACACACACAAACACACACACACACACACACACACACACACAATCACAGGGGCCTCGTAGCCTGGTGGATAGCGCGCAGGATTCGTAATTCTGTGGCGCGGGTTCGATTCCCGCACGAGGCAGAAACAAATGGGCAAAGTTTCTTTCACCCTGAATGCCCCTGTTACCTAGCAGTAAATAGGTACCTGGGAGTTAGTCAGCTGTCACGGGCTGCTTCCTGGGGGGGGCGTGTGTGTGTGTGTGTGTGGTGTGGGAAAAAAAAAAAAAAAAAAAAAAAAAAAAAAAAAAGTAGTTAGTAAACAGTTGATTGACAGTTGAGAGGCGGGCCGAAAGAGCAAAACTCAACCCCCGTAAAAACACAACTAGTAAACACACACACACACACACAACAATCTCTCAGGTATTTGTCTGTTAAGTTCCACCAGAATGTGACATTCTACCAGCAAAGTCATATATTAACTTTTACACTGTTCAGAGTGCTATCTGTGATTTCCTCCTGCGGTCAAATTGTCATATGTGATTGACCCATACGGATTTTATATACATTGATCATTGTGTATTTTATATATGTTGATCTTTATGGGTTCTGTATATCTTTTTTTATCTTAATCTTTTTCTTGGTTCTTGATCGTTATACATCGATCCTTAAAGGATCAACATTGATATTATGAGTTTCTAAGGGATTTCAATACTTTTTCATGCACATCTGGATGTGGGACTTTTAAATACTTAGCAGTTTAAGGGTTAAGAGTGTCACGGTAAAATCTCTAGGAAGAGATTCAGCCTGCTCCATTATCACCTATTCTACCCATACCACGTCTATATATTCAAGTACTGCAGCAACAACAACAGCAACAACTACTTCCAGATGTCTAGACAGTACTACCAGTCTCCCCCTTTCACCACTGCCCGTCACTCCACCTCACACCTGGGTCATCATCTGCACGGCCGTTGTCATGTATATATAGGGTTGCCTAGCCCACTGCAGTTCAGATTACTCCTGAGTGCTCTTGATGAGTAGACTTGTTGACATACCCCGGTATGGTAAGAGCTATTCAGCTATTCAGTCCATGTACACTAGAAGGTATAAGACTGGAAACTTACTTTGTCAAGTATATCAAGACGGTTTGTCGAGGACAAAAGAACAACACCTTCTTTTGATCCAATGCCATCCATCTCCACTAAAAGTTGATTTAATGTTTGTTCAGATTCACCCGATCCACCGTCGAAACCACTGAGATTACTCGAGCGCTGCCGCCCGATAGCATCAAGTTCATCAATGTACACGATACACGGAGCCCGTTTCCTTGCTTCTTTGAACAAGTCCCTGAAATAGACAATTTAAAGAAAAAAATAACAATTCACAAGGTTACTTAAGAGTTTTGAGATACAATAAATGTAACTAAAGCGAATAGCCTTCCATGGTGTGTAAAGAACTCGACTGTTTGTACACTGAACACATGGAAGTCAACAAGTCCATGCAAAACCTAAACAAAATTTAACTTATCACATAAATATACACACCTTAACTAATTATCACAGCCCTGCGATAATGATGACCATCACAGGTTTTGACCCAAGGCTAGTTTTTTTTCCCCAAAGTCTGTGAAGGATATTCAGTCTTGATCTAAATTCTCACCATCACACACTTTCTAAGCGGTGATATCAATATGATACAACTCGTTCTTCAAAACATACAGAACACAGTTTCATTACACAGAATGGAAAGCATGATCTGAGGTATGATTACTACGACTACATGCACTCCTCTGTCCTTGTTTGCCAACATCTTTATAACTAAGGCTTTATCCTTAGACCTTATTGATAATTCTCTTGCATTTTCATGATGGCCACTAACAACAATCTCGCAGGTGATTTTAGCATCACCACTTTCCTTCTGGGGTTTTCAGGGCTTCAGCTCCTTGGTGCTCTTCTCTTGTAGCCCCATGAGTTGTACCCGCACAACTCAACAAGTACACACACCAGTATTTACAAGTAGTTCCCAGAAACACAGTATAGAGCTTAACAGTAGGTTATTAAAGAAAACTTACCTGCTAATAAACTGGGTGCTTGATTTACTCTAGACTGGCGTCAGCAAAGCTATTATTGCACTAATGAGACATGATACGTCTTGCTAATCGATCTCAGCACGCTCATAACACTGTCTTTACAAACAGTCATTAACACAGCTTTCCTAACACTGCTGGTATGCAAAGTTACACATGAGCACAATAACATGCACAATAAATCAACAATGGTACTGTCAATAGGACAGGCAATAATTATGCACAATAATCAACTCTCAAATTGTGTGCAATAATTTCAAAGCGTTATATGACAATGAGTGCTGGGAAAACGGGACACAACAAGTGAAGCTCTCATCCTGTAACTACACTTAGGTAATTACACTTGAGTAATTACAAATGTCAGCAGATTGTTGAGATGAAAGAGAAGTTTCTTCCATCTCTTGGTCCAACAGGCTGCTGCTTGCAGCTACAAGCAACAGCTTGTTGGATTAAGTTATCACAAGTTGAGCATGGCCCCAGGCTGGGATCGGGAAGTAGATGAACTCCCGAGACCCCTTCTAGGCAAGATCCAGGTAAGCTGCAGCAGACAGTAGTTGGAGTTGACAACAGGTGGTAGCTGTGGTAGCTACACGTGGTGGGTCAAGCAGTAGGACACAAAGCTACCGCTGCCAAGTGTATTTACTGTATACACGTTAGGCTTCTATCGAAGTCCCCACCCTCCCCCCCCCCAGGTCGAATTACTGACCCCACTCAGGATACAACCCCACAACAAGCTGATTAACTCCTGGGTTCCTACTTACTTCTAGGTGAACGGGGGAATTAGGTGATAGAAATTGCACCCAACTATTTCTGTCCCACCCGGGATTCGAACCCGGAATTCTCAATCATGAGTCGAAAGCGAACCCGACTACTACTGGGACCCTAAACTCTATACAGTACAGTATACCCTATTCTCTATTTAGCTTATTTATATGCTGCCAGAATTAAAATATTCTGTTGAAAAACTTCAATCTTAAGAACAGATACAAAAATTTGTAACAATTATACCTTTTGCTGAGAATGTCACAGTACCGTGGCTGAAAACACATGAGTGACAACATTTCAGGATGGGCTGAAATGTTGTCTCTTTCCTATGTTTCCATATGTGTAAGTTGGGTTATTTAATTATACCTCATCTATTTTGAGACATTGTAAAATGCATACCTGACTCTCGCAGCACCAAGCCCGCCAATCATCTCTGTGAACTCGGAACCATTCATGGCTAAGAAAGGCACGAGCCCCTCCGTAGCCACGGCCTTGGCCAGCAGAGTTTTACCACAGCCCGGAGGACCCAGCAAGAGAGCGCCTTTTGGAACCTATCATATCAGAAACAAGTGGAATGAGAGATGAAATACTGCAACAGTATTCAGACATGGAAATATGGATAATAAAGGTAAAAATAAAATGCTGCAAACAATACAAACATTTAAATAAAGTAGCAAAGCAGATAAACAACAGAGAAATAAATCTATAGCTAAATGTGTCAAGGACAACAGTTGACTTCTGTTTATAAATTTAGTGTTGAATGTAATTAAATGCTTCATTCTGGTGGGTCCCCGCATGTGTCTGTGAGAGTTGTGGCATTCACATTGCCTTGAAATGTACAAGGGTTGTGCACAAGAGAGCAATGGAGTGGATTCATCGCCTGGTGCACCCAATGCACAGGTCATGTGCACTAATGTACTAGGTCTTTAAACTGTTCTGCCTGCAGCTAAGACTGCCGTGTTTACCATCGTCGGCAGAGCTCGACGTCAGCAACTCAACAATGCCATGAGGCTGTTGTAAATCGTCGCTGTGAGATACCACTAGAGCCACAAGTTTAGTTACCCAAGTACACATCTATTGACCTGTGTGGAGTCAAGAGGAGTTTGGTACAGCAGAGAGAGGCTTGGCCGAGGTGTGGAGTCATGAGGAGTTTGGTGCAGAAGAGAGAGGCTTGGCCGAGGTGTGGAGTCATGAGGAGTTTGGTGCAGAAGAGAGAGGCTTGGCCGAGGTGTGGAATCAAGAGGAGTTTGGTGCAGCGGAGAGAGTCTTGGCAGAGGTGTAGTCACTTATCTCTCTAGGGACGTGCCTCATGGGTACCGGCAAGGTCAACCCAATAAGTATCTGGTCATGTAGACGCCTTCCATTGCTTTAGCACATTCTGCACTCTTTCCTTACGAGTATGGAAGCTGCTCTGCTATTGACCTTATTTATAGCCATCTCATTGGGTTTCACATCTCTTGGTATGCTACACAAAGGCAGGAAGTTAGAAATGAAGACCTTTCGGCAGAGTCGAGCTTTGTGCCCAATGCCCGAGTAGAAAAGGATCACTAGCACTTAAAGGATTTGATCCAAAGATAACCCTACAGAAGGCAGCCCAGATCCTTGGTGGGAAGGAATGGCTCAATTATCTCCAGCATCAGTGGAAGGAGCGACCCCCAGACAAAGCCAAGCTACACCCAAAATGAGTTGCAGCCTGGCCTCTAAAACCCTCTGATGCCGCAGAACCCAGAGCAAGGAAGGTGAACATGGGGTCTGCACAACAAAGCCAGGCAGACAATGGAAGCAGCAGCTACTCAAAGTGCACCAGCAGATGAAACCAGCAGATGAAACCAGCACACGCACCAGCACACGCACCAGCACACGCACCAGCAGATGCATCAGCACACGCACCAGCCACTCCAGCCCCCCAAAACCTCCAAAATGAAACAGGACAACTCTAGGGCAACCACACAAATCTGTACACCAGTTGACTGACAGTCGAGTGGTGGATCCAAAGAGCCGAAGCTCAGCCCCCGCAAGCACAACTAGGTGAGTACAACAGCTAGGGAAGTACAAGCACCGAACTGCACACAAAAATGAGCAAAAATTGAACCTGAAGTAGCATCTGCATGTAGACCCTTGTCACTACAAAAACAAACAAAACCCAAAAAAGTGGGCTTGAAATAAAACAGCAGACCAGCAAACCCAAACATTGCATGATGCAAGGTAGAGGGTGATGCACACCAAATAGGCAACAGGAGACTATAATGGCCCATCAGTTTGTAGCAAAATAGACAGACAACTCTGGGACTTGTAAGTATCAAGTGCAGGCTCGGTGGGTTGAACCACAAGGAACCACACTAAAGATTCTTGAGGCTTACCAGGACCTGAAGGCAAAGACCAGGCAGAATACCCAGGCATTGGGAATGCTTTCCAAAAGAACTAACGCTGAATGCTGCCTTCAGGATAAACACAGCTATGAAAGGCATCAGCAGCACACTGTACAGATAAGCACATGAACCCCCAGCACCACACCGCAACAATGAAACCCCAAGTGCCCTAACCACAGGGCCTCACAGAAGAATCAAAGACCTACGCACCTACCCTACACACCCTACAAGGCAGGTGGCAAGGCACCCTACACAGTAGTCCAGCCTCTCAGGGACCAACTCCCAAACCCACCAGAGTTTGGAAGTTTGCCCACTGTCTATGTTGGCAATGTCAAAACGAATGCCTAGGGAAGGACTGTCCTAAACACATGAAGCTTGAGATAAAGAAAAGATCAAGTCCATACAACAAGAGAGGTTTGAAATGCTCTCTCGTGAGGCAAATACAAAATTGGAAGCAACACACTGAGCAAATGGCCCCCACAGGACAAAGTTCAAAGGATGGGTCACACTTATCTTGGTGGAAAAAAAAAAAAAACTGGATATTCCAAGGCCAGCAACTCGGGAAGGTCTGCATTCACAGACATCAGCAAAAGGACCGAGGCCAAGATGGCATGGAAGTCGGGAGCTCTCGGTGTTGCTGCAGCTGTTGGTGGCCAGTCTTAAGTAAGGGGGGATTCAATCTTGCTTCTGAGTGAATTACTTTGCAGCATTTGGCTATTTTGGTGCACTGCTTTATTTGAACCTTGCAGTTGTCTGTATTGCTTTGCTGACCTTTTTTTGAGGTTTTTCTCAGTGAAGGTGATGGTAACTTCATCATCATGATAATGATGAAGGTGAAGGATGATGATGTGCCTCAGTGAGGGGGGCCCGGCTCCGACTGTGGTCCCCGACAGGCCATTCCGAACTCCTAGCCTGATGTAACTCAACAAGGGGGAAGCTATCTCAGTTATCTACCTTCCGGAGCCACTATTCAGCTCCCCCAGAAAACATTCCAAATATATATAGACTGCCTTAGCAAGTATACAGCATGAGCTCAGTGCAACATAATGCCAAGATTGGTAAGGATGACAACAAGATGCAGAACTGAACTGGGTCTCAAGCTTACCCAACCATCATGGGGACAGTGTGGGCATTGCCATATGGTAGTAGTCAGGGTGAGATGCCAATCTTGAGGTTATCTTGAGATGATTTCGGGGCTTTAGTGTCCCCACGGCTCGGTCCTCGACCAGGCCTCCACCCCCAGGAAGCAGCCCGTGACAACTGACTAACACCCAGGTACCTATTTTACTGCTAGGTAACAAGGGCATAGGGTGAAAGAAACTTTGCCCAATGTTTCTCGCCAGCACCTGGGATCGAACCCAGGACCACAGGATCACAAATCCAGCGTGCTGTCCACTCGGCCGACCGGCTCCCCACCAAGGGCCCAGATACTAAGTATGGCTTGGAGTGGAATATCTCTTAAATGTTTATGAGAGTACTTTCAACCATCACACTAGGGTGTTTTGAACTTTCCCATAATACCTCCCAAGAACCAGTTTGATTCAAGAAAGACACCTGAAAATATTGCAGTGGTGTGGGACCAGTTTGATTCAAGAAAGGTATCTGAAAATATTGCAGCAGTGTGGGATCACATTGTCACCTGCTTTGCTTAACCACAGTGCTGTGCTAACTGAGAAATCTTGTTCTGAGAGTTGTACTATTTTTTTTAATTTGGCTATATTTTAATGTTTTTTAATGTTTTCATTATTCTTTGTGTTTTGAAATGAAAATGGTTGAGTTTGGAAACATTTTGACATTAACTTTACCTGAATATTTTATAAAACATCAAAAGTACAGTATGTCCTTAACAATTGCAATATGAAGTTTTTGCCAAAAACAGGTGCGCAGTGCAGGGGTTAATGTGATCCAACACAGCGGGATCATCACTGATCTTGTCCTAGGGAGTATCCCTGGATAATACCTCAACAAATACAAAAATAATAACTAAATCATACTGTATTTCTTATCTGGAGAACTAATTATCAACTGATCATAGATGATTTAAGTACAGTGGAATTTCAGTCTACAAATTTAATCCGTTCCGAGAGACTGTTCGTACACCGAAAAATTCGTACTCGGGGGCAATTGTACACCAAGATCCACTGTATTATTTACATCGAACACTCACTTTTGCTCCAAGAGTCCGGTATTTATCTGGATTTTTTAAAAAGTCGACAAATTCCATGACCTCTTGTTTAGCCTCTTTACAACCAGCAACATCAGCAAACTTGACCCCTCGTCCAGACCCTGGCATGAGGGGGTCAATGATGGTGAACTTCGCTCGAGTCATCTGAGACTGGAAATAATAATGAAAAACATTATATGGACATGTTTGGTAAACATTATGAGGACATCTCCCAAGCTTTAAACCCTAAAGCAAGTGTTAATTGTTAATATACAGTAATTGTTAATCTTCCTGAAAGTTATATTAAGCTAACAACTAACAAATTTCTCAAGAGAGAGAGATAGAGAAAGGGGAGGCACATACATAGATCATTTCAGCATGATTGCCAAACTTTTCTTGAATGGATGGAATTAAGTGTCATCACTCAATATCCTGCCCCGTCAAGAAAACTGACTTCATTTCAAATGTTAAGTGGAGTGTATACCACTGTAGTAGCTTGATAGCCGATCCCCACATGCTCACAGCCATGTTGATGGAGAAAAACAACTTGAAAAAACCAGCATTGAATGTAATGAAATGCCATTTTCTGGGTAGAGCCCTGGAGGCTCCCTGGAGCTATTGCACTGATATTAGCTATTATTAGTATGGGGCTTCAGTCATATGGAGTTATCATGCCTACCGGGGACCACAAGCCAGAGCATGGTTCCCTCAGAGAGGCGCAGGGAGCAATGGACTATGAAACTCTCATGAAGAAAACTATTCATGTCTGCCATCGACTGAGGTTGAGCATCCAGAAAGGTAGGTGCTTCAAAACAGACTCCCTCCTGGTAGAAAATTGCAATCTGAGACCAAACAGAGGCTAGAAACTCTCCCCCCCCCCCCCCAGGCAAACAGAAAAACAAGCAGCATGTCATCACACTGCATGGTACTCGTTTGTGCCGACCCCAAAGGGAAGGGGAGGGGGGGCCGTACCACTAGTTCGGAGACTGACTAGACGGAACAAAAACAGCCGACTGGAGGGAGGGAGAGTGCCAGGGAGCATCCAGGGCTCTACTCAGAAAATGCGTTTCATTATATTCAACGTTGGTTTTCTGTGGGGAGCCCCGTCGCCTCCCTAGAGCTACCTACCCAAAGAGCAGGAAAAAGAGGGACTCACCCGGGAGGTGGCTGCACTGCATGACTCATGGCAAGGACAAGGCAATTGGCTGCAACTGCCAACCCAAGGTGACACAAGACCGCTGAGGGCCTGGTGCATTAACTAGACACTGGGCAGCCAGGACCCCTGTTCAACCTACAAAACCCCTGCGCCTGAATGTCAGCCCAAGACAGCCCTGTTTTGGCCCAAGACAGTGGCCAAAACAGTGAACTTTCAAACATCAAGGGTGCAAGGGTAGACTGCAAACTGGCTAGACTTAATAACCCTGCAGACAACCTGAGAGACCCGAGCCCTGGAACTGGAAATGAGGGATATTGGGTCAACCCACAACGCATCCCTGGACACAGAAGCCAAGGTGCGCAGGTAACGGTGTAAAGCTGCAACCGGACACAACACATGATGCACCCCCGGCCTGACCAACCAAGCATCAATAACCCATGGACCCCTCCGGAAGCCTGCCGTCTCATTGTTAGCCAGAAAAGAAGAAGACAGCTGCAAACGAACAAAACGTCAACCTGGACCAAAAGAGCAGAAGCTTCTGCACCGGAGGAGAGCATGAAGCTCCCGAACCTGACCCCCAGAAGCCAAAGCCAACAAAAACAAAGCCTTCTGGAAACAATCACTGATCGAAGAGGCTTCCACAAACCGAGGAGGAGAGAGAAAGGAGAGTACCTGGTCCAAAGTCCAGGTTGGCTCAGGCGGCACACGAGGTGGAAAAACACACGTGAAACCTTACGAAATGGAGCAGAAGTGACATCCACCCCAAACGCAAGCAGGAGTGACTCCGCCAGTGCTGCACGATACAAGGCAACAGTATTTTGCATAAGATGCCTGTCTTGAAAAAGCCTAGAGAAAAAGAACACCACATGACCTGAAACCGAGGACAACTAACGCAGGGAAAGGAAGTGGCGAAAAGACCTCCCAGAAACTTCATACTGTCACCGAGACGAAGACCATAGGTGAGACACCACCAGAGAAGCCACCTGGTCACCATACAGATAGTGATACACCCAAGTCAGAAAACTCAGACGTGAAGTGCGTAAGAGTAGACCGGATTAGAAAGGTACACTATCTGGGAATCCCAGACAAGGCCCTGCCAAGTCTGAACCTGAGACGGAACCAGATGGGACTTCCTCCAGTTTACCAGGCACCTGAACCCGGCAAGCTGGGAAAGAACCAAACCCCTGGCGAGCAGACACAGACTGGCTAGGAGCCCAGACCAACCATTCGTCGAGGTAGGCCAAAACCCAAACACCCAAGAGAGGCAGACAGGCCACCACGATCCGGGTAAGATGCGTGAAAATGCGAGGTGCCAGATTCAAGCCAAAGGGAAGGCAATGAAAGCGGTAAGCATGCCGCCTCACCACAAAACCTAACCAGTCCCTAAAACCTGGATGAATCGGGACTGGCCAATACGCATCCTGGAGGTCCAGAGACACCATCCACGAACCCAGCTTCAAGGAAAGCTGGACCTGGGACAAAGTGGTCATCCAAAAGGAGGGGCAAGGAATCCAGGGGTTCAGACGGGACAAGTTCAGAATGAACCGCAGATCCGCACAGTCCCATTTCGGCTCTGGAAACGAGCAGGAAACCCACTTGAGGGACGCGGTCGTTTCGACCACTCCCAAGCGCACCCACTCCAAGACGACCTGATGAACTGAAGGGGAAGAAGCCTGCCCTGCCAGCCCGAACCTTCTGGAGGGGGTAGAGTCGCCCAACACCACCACAGGCCAGAAGACACGACCTGAAATGCCCACGAATCATCGGACCAAGCGTGGGTAAACTGAGCCAGCCTCCTCTCCAGCGCCCCGTCAACGGGGCGACCCGCAAAAGGGCCGGAGACCTTTCCGAGAAACCGACTAGGGGCACAGAGCGAGCACAGTACTGACCAGACAAAGATGTTTCGAGAACAAGCACCGGCTCAGAAACTGGCACCAAGGGCCCACCTCGACCAGCAGATACTCGAGCCCTGGCACGAGACTGTTGTCCCAGAGGACAACGTATCCGAAAGAGGGCGGCAACTGGAAGAATCCGCCTGCAAAAACTGAGTCACGACAGAATCTGCAAACAACTGCGGACAAAATGGAGAAGAAAACCTAAGAGCCAGAGCCCAATCAGAATCCACCGAGAGTGTGAGGATGGCCTGCCGACACGCGAGGTGAGAGACATAAAATAGAGATTGCCTCCTGGAGGATAGGAGCATACAGTTTGAGTAACACTGCCGACATCTTAGCTGCTGAGGTCAATGCAGCAGGCGAAGATCCGGCACTCAACGCCTCCAAATCCTCCACAAGCCAGTCCGCAGACGGCTCAAGAAGGGAAAAGAAGTGTAGGACCGCGGCCAAATGCCCGCAAGCACGAAGATCCTCTGCAACCAAAGCAGCTGAAAGGGAAGGGACCTAGATGTGCAACTGGAGCAGACCACCTCACGAGGAAGTACAGGAACGTACAAACACGCATTAAGGTGCTCAAATGCGCCTCCCAAGTAGACCTGCAACACCGTAGTGAGCTATCACCACTCAAACGTGCGGGTACGACAAAATGAGTGCCACGCTCCCAACAAAAAGAAAGTTCAGTCTGCAAGCCAGGAAGATGCTGGGACCTCATAACGCACCCAATACAGGAAAGAAGACCCGAACTCAAAAGAGACCGGGTCCATCGCTGAGGCAAAATCCGGGTCTCGTAAGAGGCAGGCACCGAGGGCTTTCCAAACCTCTGCAGGGGAAATCCGAGAGGTAAAAAGCCTCCGGAAGGATGAAGCCACGGAACACAAGGGAACCCGGAAATAAACCCGGGGGGGGGGTCACATCCCCCAAGGAAGGAGGATACGAAAATCCCGAACCTTACTAGATAGAAAACTATCACCTGAGGACCACATTAAGAACGTTGTGCGAGGAGCCTATGCCACACTTTCTAACTTCAGAATTGCTTTTAAATTCATTGATGGCGAAATACAAAACAAATTGTTCACGACTTTTGTTAGGCCAAAGCTAGAATATGCAGCAGTTGTGTGGTGCCCATATCTTAAGAAGCACATCAACAAACTGGAAAGGTGCAAAGACATGCTACTAAGTGGCTCTCAGAACTGAAGGGCAAGAGCTACGAGGAGAGGTTAGAGGCATTAAATTACTCCTAGAGTTCTGAATGAAACACTGGCAACGCCGCAACCCTCGCCGATGTTTGTAAACACAGCATCTGCTCCCTCTCCTCACTCCCCCCCTTCAACTCACCTCGGATCTCTAGCTTTAGAATTCACTCAATCTATGGCTCCCTGTTTAAACTTCAAACCTCTCCGAAGTAATCCATGGCTCCAGAAACTGCACAACCTTGTGAAAATGCAATCAGAAGCTATTTTGGCCCTCCAAGACACAGTCACCCGACAACAACATACCATAGACTGCCTCCTTAAATCGTCGATGAACAACAACCAAGAAATTCTCAACGTACAAACTGTTGCAAATGTTGCAATGGATGAAATACGTAAGATTCAGGCTGAAGAAACCCTCACAGCTCAAAGTGACCTCCTTAAAAAGCTGGAAAAACAGATCAATCTCCTTCAGACTCACCAGGCGGCTTCCAAAGATGACCAAGAGCAACAACAACTTCATGACTCCCTGATAATTAGCTCTACTGATCTACCTGCTGAACAACAAGGTGAGGATTGCTGTAACATAGCCAACACCCTAATTAATTCAAAGATCAGTGTCAATGTTCAAATCAAATCGGCTATTAGGATAGATAAAAACAATCCCCGTAACAGGAGAATGCTCATCAAACTTGCAAATCCCTCTGAGAAGTTTGACCTCATGCAAACAGCTGCTCAGCAAAAAACCAACCTCTATATAAATGAGTGTCTTACTAAGCAGCGTGGATCCCTCCTCTACAGGCTGCGCCAAATACGCAAACAAAACCTTGGTCTTATCAAGCAGTGCTACACAAGGAATGGTACGATTATTGCGAAGAAAGAAGCTACAGGAAAAAGATATGAAATAAAATGTGACCAACAACTCCTGGC